CCTGCTGTTCTTCAGTGGCACATCTGTCGTCATGCATCCATGCTCTGTTTGCGTTGGTTTCTTGTTGCTGCTTTCTCTTATCATGTATGCAAATGGGAGGAAAGTAGTGCACAAGAAAAGAGCTAAACTGCCAAACACAAACCCCAAAACTGCAAGGATGTGTCAAATGTAAACAGAAAAACAGAATGCAATGGTTTACAAATCTCATAAAGCCATATTTTATTTAAGGAAAATACCTTCAATCTTTAAAATGAATATGACAGAATCTGAAGAACTTGAATGTACCACAAAGTAGCATAACCTCTTCTGTTGTCAGCACTCCAGGGAACATCTGGGAACTAAGGATACCAGCTGCTGGACTTTTGGGAGATGATTGTCCCTTTTTCTGTCCTTACAGGACTCTAGCTGCTTAACATTTTCAGATCCTTCTTTGTCATGTTTTTCATTTCATGATGCTCATAAAATTTGGCCTTGTCCCTCATGCAGAGAGATCTCTAGACTCTCTCAATCTTTGATATTATGTATTGCAGATGAAGACACATTCAAAGTCTTTGCAATTTTAAGGTGAAAGATATTTTTTCTGAAATTGTGCAACAGGTTTGAAATGCAGTGCTTTGCAAGTCTGTGAACCTCTGCCCACCTTTGCTTCTGAGAAACTCTGCCTGTCTAAGATGCTTCTCAAATAGACACACAGACAATGCAGACCTCTTGCCTGTTATTAAAAAAATTTGAATGATAGAAAAAAAAATCACTTGTGTGATATATTGCTTGGGTTTGCATGGATTCCAATCAGTATGATGAGAATTAAAAAGTACCGTAACCTAGATGCACACATCACCTCAGAAACTTGAACTTGTGGGCCTATGTGTGGCCCTCACACGCAAAGATAAGCTTTGTCATCCCACATCTTCTATTTGTTCAGGAATGTCAATAAGAATAAAGGCCGATGATCCGAGTGCAGTCGAGTTTAGTCATCAACAGAAATATCACAAATACACCAGATACAAAATCCTTACACTTAAGGAGTAAAAAACAAACAAAAAACATCCTCTTAGAGTCTGATTGGAGAATCTCCTTTGATCTGATCCTCTTTCATTAGAATTCTGGCTCAGCCAGAACAACATTTATATCAGTCTAGGGAGACATCCGGTACATATGTAAAACCCAAACAATATCATAAATATTAATGTTATTGTCGTTTTAAAAAATTATTTATGAGATACCAGGGGTTTGAATATGCTGAAATATTCTGTTGATCACTGAAAAGGAAAGCTGTTTGCCTTCATCTTGGCGTTTATTCCCAACTTGCTTTTTTTCTTGTTATTTTCCATGTAAATAACTTTCTGCACATTTGCAGGATTTGTAAACTCTAATTCTAACAAAGGTTTTGCCCGTTTAACTTTTCAAAATTTGAATTTAAGACCAACTACCTTTAATCACTTGCTGACAGAGTTCATTTTGTTTCCTTGTTATGATCTTTAGTCGATCACTTATCCCGCAAATAGAAACTCTCAATTACTTCAATCAATCATTTGAATGTCAATTAAATTTTGAAGCCTTATAATTTGAAGTGTTTTTACAATGTAAAATACTCAAATGATTCATTAAAAAACTCAAATGAATCCATCCACTGTTTTGCAAACTGAAAGTGCTGACGCACGGGGGCACACTGCTACTGATTTTGCAGCACAGATTGGTTTGAAGCTGTGTGCCTAAACATCAAATGAATGATCATTTTCAGTTCTTGTTTTCAATGACCCTGTTTATCTCTTTAATCTGAGGGCGAAAGAGCACAAACCTCAAACATGCCGTGTAACACGTATTCTACAGTGAACTTCCATCATGTCAGCAATACAGAGGAAGACAGCGCTGATTTTTATTGAAAATCAGCTTGCAAACATTTGCTTTGTACTACGTGCACAACGTGACAGACTTGGAGCATTGTATGCCTCAGTCAAGGTTAAGGCCTTGTCAATCATTTGTTTAAAGTACTTCGCAATTAGGCACTCATTCTGTTTGTGAGGTTCTTTGTCACTATCACAGCCATATCCATTAATAACAGCTAGAGGTAAAAAACAAAAAAACAAAAAAAACAACTTTCATTTTCTGTTAAGGTAAAAGGTTTTTGCAACTCTTTTCTACACATATATATTACACTGATTTTTTTCTGTGCATTTCTGTATTATAAACACATCTTCTTCTCACACTAATGGATACCATGCCAACATGGGAAACAATAACAGCTCTCAATTTAAACGTTTTAAGTCTTTGAGGGAAAATAACAGGGAAACACTGACATATAAATCTGTAAAGAGAGTGGAAAGATTCAATTTGCTAACGGCAAAGAGATGAGTGGCTGTCATAGAGGCGGAGGAGGGAAATGATTAGTATTAGGGAGGGAATTAAGGAAATTAGTGGGAGCAGAAGTGGAATAGTGTGGAGAGATAGAGAGAAAGTTAAGTGAGCTGTTTAAATTTCTGCACAACTGCTGCCACAGACTGGCCAATATACAAATACAAAATACAGTTTTAATATCAAAAGAACTTCCCAGTCTAAGGCATTTCACAGAAACAATACAAAATAAAAGTTAATCTAAATCAAGTGGTTTCCATTCAGAGTGTTTGTTTGTCTGTTTATATTTGCAGAATAGCCACAAACCCAACTCTAAAAAAGCTGACTTGCTTTGTAAAATGCAAACAAGCCGATATTTTATTCACAACAGACCATAAAAAGCATATTAGATGTAAAGATTGTAAAGATTGAGACTTTGCATTATTTTACTATTACTGCCTTCATCGTGCTGATGGGGATCTTCTCAGACTTGATGTTGGGGACATTGCTGGAGTGGATTGCGCCTTGCTCATGCAACACATGAAAAGGAGACCTAAAACTGCTACTAACAAGTCTTATTCTCAGCTGCACCTCCCAGGAGTGAGTAAAACTCCACCTGCTGACGGTCCAGTGCTCAGCAGGGAGATCTACTTGACAAAGGTGTTACCTTTGCTCCTGGATCACAGAGAGGGGGTGGAAACTGTATGCTCCTCCTGTCACATGCCAGCGTGCCCTGAACATTGCACGAGGCAAACTAGGCGCAATATGTGCACCCAGTAGTGTGTTTAGTGTTAGTTGGTTTTAGCTGTTTCTGGTCCCTGCACAACCATAGTGAGAGATTGGTTCATACTGCCAGCAGCTAAGTGAGACAGGGAAACAAGTATCAGCACTAGTATCAGCAATACTGGCACTTTTTTTTTAACTGGTATTAGATCGATACCAAAATTTGCTATCGCACAACACTAGTGGAGGACTTTAAATATCTCAGGGTCTTGTTCATGAGTGACGGGAGAGTGGAGCAGGAAACTGAGAGATCGATGTGGCATCTGCAGTAATGGGGTGACGAGAGAGCTGACCCTAAAGCTGTCAATTTATAGGTTGATCTACGTTCTGCCCCTCATGCTCTCTGGGTGGTGTAAGGACAAATGAGATTGTGATACAAGGAGAAATGTGCTTCCTCTGAAGCATGTTTGACCTCTCCTTTAGAGACAGAGTAAGGAGGCATTTGGGAGTGCTATATATATATTATGATTACTATGATTACTTGTCACAGTAAAATTATTCTTGGCTCAAGTTAGTACCCCATGTACTATATGTTAAATATGTTGTTAGGTGAGGAATAAGATGGACTCATACCCTCCTTGTTTCTGTGTGGGGGTAAATTGCTACATTATTATGTTACATTTGGTTTTAAAAAATGTATTTCTGACTCAAAAGGCCGCACTGGTTCAGTCTAAAGTGCACGACACAATTCAACAGCAAAAACCAAGCATAGAACAGGCAGGTTGGTCTTTATGTAGTAAGTGAATCATTATACATGTTCATTACTATTATACTGACTTATGATTTCCATTGGAAATACTCTTAAACAATAAACCAAGGTTTCATGTTTAAATGTAATCATTTAAGTTATTGGACTTTTACAGTTTGTTAAATGGGTAAAACCTTTATGTTGCCACTGACACTGACACTAGCTAAATATTGCATTCGCTTCTAAATGAAGACCTCTGACTCATCTGTTACAAAGCAGTGGCACAGTGCTGCGTATTTGCTCATGAGGACATATTGTTGTTGTTCTGTTTGGAGAAAATTCTTTCCACATACAGAAGCCCCGTTGCATCACTAGTCTATCTTTGGCACAAAGATTGTTGTTGTAGTGAAGCTGACAAATACTGGCCCTGAATGTGTTTTCCGTCTGCAGTGTCATTGTTGAGCAATCCATTACGTAGTGTGTAACCTGTTTTGTACATTTGAATTTAAACAAGATGTCATTGTCGTGGGTCTGTGACCCATTGTTTATGCATTTAGACTTTTTGGGTTCTGCTTTATGTAACCCTTGTGGTGTCCTCGGATCAAAAATGGTCCCTAGGTGAATGCCAAACAAGCATATGGGAATCCCGAGGAATGGTTTGTTTTGTTTTTCAGGTTTTAGTGTTTTTCGTTGTTGTCAGTTTTGGCCGGCGGTCATAGGTTCTGTCTAATAACATGACGCGAGACTGGAGTAAAATACATCCATGGATTGGCATTTTATTAAAGAAGGCACATGTTAACAGCACAAAAAAAAAACACTAACTAAACAAAATGACTTCCTTTTATACTCTACCTTTTCAGGTGAGCAAGTAACCAACATGAAAACATAACCCTCCACACAAACAAACATACAATAACATTAAAGCATATCACAAACATATACATATTTCCAACACGTACTATAAACAAACCAATAACATAAGCTTCACCCATTTTTATCTAAATTAAAACCCTCTTTAACCATACTCCCTAACCTGGCACACTAAACTGCTCCAGGAGCTCTTGAGCAGGTGATTGAGCCACTTTCACTCTTTTGCTCCACATCCTGCAAGAAGCAACCAGGACAGGTGAGTACCTTTACAAGTTCTCATTTCACATATAGTGTGACAGGTGAGACCTGAGTCTGGGAACCGCCCCTGGTGGGCGGAGCTGGTCTTTGCTCCTTTCATAAGCTCAGGTGTGGGCAATTAGGCATTCCTCAGCAAACCTGAAGCTGCGACTGCTTGGTCCAAGTTGGTGTTTTTAAATTTCTTTCAATGAAAGCTTGATGCGGGTCCCCCTAAACTTCTGTTAGAACGGTATGTTACACTAAATGTACCACTTGAGCTCTGGCCGTTGGCAGAGATTTACAGTTATTTGCACCCTTGTAGGTAGGAAATATTGCGTTCCTGTGAGAACAGTGTAGTGGACTTCACCGCCACTGACCCACATTTATAAAGGTGTGACGGGAACTTGTGGACAGGTAATGAAAACGATACAGTTGAGGAATATTTTGTTTTACTGTCCAGCGTAAGTCATCTCCTGCCTTTTATTTACAGAGTACCGAGCTGCTGCTTTGCCAAGTGGATTTCTGCTTTATAAGTTCAATAAAGTTTGGAGAAAAAAAAGAACCTCTTCGGCCGCTCCCTTCTGCCGTATTTTGCGGCAAAATTATCCACACCCACCGCCGCGCTATGAATTGTGGGATATATGGGACCACGAAGCGTGCACCGGACCACGCTTGATATTTGGGGAAATCGACGGCGCATTTGGAGTATGCATTTGAAGTACACTTCGAATTGGGACAGCCATCGTCGCGTGGCGGTGACGTAACCGCACTTGAAATGCGTACTTCAAGCGTGCAGACCCTAAATTGGGACACAGCCACAGACCGGTAACGATCTGTTGCCTGGGGTTTGGGGACCGCTGATCTAGTCTGTGTTAGTTCCTGTTTTATTTTGATAGTCTACGGCTGTATCCCAATTCAGGGTCTGCAGCCTTAAAGTACGCATTTCAAGGCCGATTACATCACAGCGGCGCGCCGAAGGCTGTCCCAATTCAAAGGCTGCTCGAAATGCGGCCCTGAAATGGGTCATTTCCCTTAATTTTAAGGCTGTGGCAGTGTAGACTTCGTGGCCCAACATATCCCAGAATGCATAGCGCGGCGGTGGGTGTGGATAACTTTGCCGAAAAAAAACAGCGGATGAGGGGCACCCGAAGAGTAAACTGTAAGTACTGAATATTATGTCACTTATTTATGTTCAAATGTTTAATAACAAAGAACATTTTGGCCACAGGTTGGCCACATGTCGGCAAAGTTATGTGACATTAGTGACGTTTGTACTAACTTGGTTTTAAAGCCTTTACTTTAAAATATACTCCGTTCAATAGCTGACCTTAATCCTACAGAGAATGACCAAAGCTCATGTAGAAACAAACAAATGAACAAAAGATTTTCTCCTTCATTTCTGTCAAACAAAGCTGTATGACACGTTTCCAGCTGTTAGTATCATGGTTGCTAGGCAACCTGGGCAGCGAAACGGAGGCTAGACCGTCCCATTCCACAAGCCTCGCACTTCCGGCCTTAGCGGTCTTTGAGTACGCGGCCCTTGAGGATCGTTGAGGCTGCGTACTTTAAGGCTGCAGACCCTGAATCGGGATACAGCCTACATCTCGTGTGTGTGTGTGTGTGTGTGTGTTAGTTATCTGCGGTTCCCTCTGTTCTTTGTCATGTTCTTACTAATTGTAGAAAGTGGCTCTGTCTGCTTTCCTGCCTGTCACTGAGTCAGTTTTTGAAGTTGTCACTGTTTAGTTTAGTCTTTTGCCTTTTGTTGTGTTTTTAGTTCATCCTGCGTTTTCGGGTCCACAAATCTGTCTGCCGCACACCTACACCTGCATATACGATGCAAGGTATAAATCTTTATTGATTTTAAAGTGTGTGGGTTATTAACAAGTTATTTGTGGATATTTGTGATCCTCTGAAATTTTGATGCAGATATGAAAAATTTGTTTTCTAATTAGGCCTAAAGGACGTCCAGGTCAGGTAAGTCATCCTGCAGTTCTACAGATCCATAGAGTTTGCATTTGTACAGATATGGGAATATTGTGTTTGCAAGATATTTAAGACGGGTTTTAAGCTGGATATTGTGATTATTAGCATGTGCACTGTAAAATATCACACAGGATTTATATTATAAGACAAATATCATAACATGATTCCAAACCAAAATGCTAAAAAAAAATGAAGACAAAAAGTCATTACAGTTGACAAAGATGAGTTTTTAGCTGCTTTCTAGCAAAGAAAAGTGACACTGACGATAATAGGGAGCCAGTGTGTTTATACACTTGTATTTAATTATTTGTTGTTATTATTAATCTCTGGCTCACTTTCACAGTATGTCTTTGTCCTGTCTCCATTCACTTACACCCAAACAGTCATGGAAGATGGCTACGCCCTCCCTGAGCCTGGTTCGGCTGGAGGTTTCCACCTGTTAAAGGGAAGTTTTTTTCCTTCCTGCTGTCGCCAAAGTGCTTGCTCATAAGGGGTCATATGATTGTGGCTTAAAAGTGATATCTCACTGAATGTCATCTGGGTAGCAGTGATAAGAAACGTAGTTAAAATTTGCTGAAGAAGAACCTATATAACAGAAATTGCAAAGGCCCCAAAACAGCACCTTGTGGCACACCATATTCAGAACAGCCACAGAAAAGAAATAATCCAAAGTAGACTCCAGTATGACCAGTGAGTATGTCAGTCTTTTGAGCAGGAGCTCTGTGGTAGGCAGTAAACAACGTTCCTCCTTAATTCAACTCACATGTGGTTTATTTCTTATCAAAGTTCTCCTTTTTTTTTTTTTTTTTCTTCCCTCCATTCTTATGTGATTGAAATTAATGCTGGTTCAATACAATGAACAAATGCACTGCTGAGGGGCAGCTGTCAATTTCCTACATCACATAAGAAGTCAGACCACCGCAGAATAAAATGTAAAAGGATAGGCAAATATTGTCATATATGAAATTATTTTAGCTTTTTTTTTCACCTCTTATGTTAGTTTTATATTTTTAGAACTTGCGAAACCATTTTGAATTCTACCCGTCCATTTTATTAACTGTTTATCCAACTTGGCGTCACAGAGGCTACCTAGTCTATCCCGGCTCTAACAGGGAAAATATCAGTACACAGTAAAGACATTACCAGGCCATCACAGGGCTAACACGGAGAAACGGGCAACATTCACACACTTTAGAATCACCAGTTAACCAAATAAGCACTTTTAATTTTGCCAAGTCATTCACTCATTCAGCAGCCCTTATTTTTGGTCATGTGACTCTGTTAACCAATGTGATGATACTTTTAAGAAAGCAAATCCAACTGTTGTTACTAACCATGGCTTGGCTTATTTACCGCATGTTGGCCAGCTGCCTCATACAGATTGCGGATGCCAGCACACTCTGTAATATGAATGTAGGGAAAGCAGGTGGTCCAGGTGCTGTTCCAGGATGGGGAATTAACTGAGGAATTCATAATGAATGCACTGTCCACACCTCCTGTAAGACATCCACTAGTGTTGTTCTCAAACAGTCTGTGATAACATGTTTGGCGACAACATGCCAGTTGCTCAAACAGCAAAAATCATGAAATGTCTGGAGGGACTGGTCCTCAGAGACTTTATGGATTCTCTCCAACCTACTGTGGACTCACATCAGTAGTTATACAAAAGTGATGATATCATTTGCATCACCCTCCATGCTCTTTAGCACCACCCAGACAGCAAGGAACAAACGCGTGTCTATTTTTTTGTGTGGATTACAGCTCAGCATTCAACACAGTCATCCAAAACACGACTGTTTGGTCTGCACACAATCTGCAACACACATTTTTCATTTATTATTCTATTGTAAAACTTTCTCAGACAAATGTAATATTTTGTAAGAGTACTAACACTCGCACATAGCGTTGTTCCATCCCATTTTAACGTCATTTAAGCTTACCTGATTGGAACTGTGTGCGAACCTGTTTCTGTGAGTGAGTAAGTGTGTTCCTTTCGAGGTAGTGGACACAATTTAATTTAATTTTATTAGTCGATGACGATAAAGGAATTCTGAATTCTAAATTTCGAAGAAGAGATAACAAACGGTGTCATGGTGACGCTGTGTTGTCATCATGTAATTACAACAAATAGCCACCAGGGGTCTGTAGAACTCAGTGACTGACTTCTGCGCAACAGGAATAAAAGGGATAAAAATATTTCTTCTTTACAGTCCTGAAGTGAATTCAAATTAGGAGGTCACATACAACTACAACAACAACGATGATGATGATGATGATGCATTTTTACTGAATAAGTCTTTGGTGTCTTTTTCATAGCTCTTTCACACATTTTATACTTATCTATATGTGTGTAGGCTCTATGTTTAAACATAATTATGTGCGTTATATTTCATTTTGCAAACTTGCTAAATCTTTTTTTGAAAATGATTTTTGGTATTTAATTTTATTATTATACGTATATGTTAGAATGTGAACAATCGGCTAACAAGGTGAAAAGGTCACTTCTCATCTCACTGTGAGTTCAACTGTGATTATGGGACCGTTTACCGGATCTCGTGGCTTAAAGCAGAGTCTGTTTCCTTGGTGCAAACACGTCACTCACAGGTCACTTTAAAAACCAGCTCCTCTTATTGCAAGAAAGATGTTGTTTTTTTTTAAATCAAAGGCCCAGTATCTATTATTGTCAGTGAATGTGCAGTTTCAGCAAAATAAAATAAGCAATCAAATTCGACGGTTTACGCTTTCTTTGCTTTATCTTTAGATTTATTTATTTTTTTATTTCTCTTAACTATATTTAGCATAAGTAGTAAAATCTGTTGTCCAGTCTAAATGTGTGCCCTCAAAACACACTGTTTAAGGAGTAAGGAAGGAATGACTGTCCTTTAAATGTAACGCCCAGTAGGATTAAGTTCACCTTTAAGGTGATGGTATGAAGAATTGTTGGAGACACGTGATTAAAATCCGGTGAAGTGCTGTGGGGCTGTGGGAGTGTGAGCCTCTGAGCGGCAGACGGAGAAGAGCAGCGTTCGTGGCAGGTAAGATCACGCTGTGTGCATTTACAAGTCAGATGCGGTGTCCTGCTGCACAGGAGGGAGATTTTTTTTTTTTCTCTGTGAGCTTTGACTAAAAACAGCCTTTCCGCGAACAGATTTGTGCTCATATTTTGAATGGCGACGCCTAATGAAGCAGTTTGACACATTATCACGGGATATCTTTGGTCACACCTGCGGGAGAATCGTCCTGCATTTGGTGTGGGAGCAGGCACGCTGACAACCTGTGGATTCCAGCAGCGAGACAAACGCGTCCAGAGTGTTTGCAGCTGATCTGCTGTGTGCCGTGCACGCTGGGTAATTGTGGGAATTTGTGATCCGGTGATAAAGAATCGTCTGAAGGTATTTGCAGATAATGACCTTGTGACGTTGATTAACATGATCTAATAATCATTTTCAAGAAAAAATTAAATTTTTTGTTCGATTAATTGGTGACTGTAAATTGGCTATGCACACGCGAAGTGCTTGAAGTGTATAGAATAAAACACTGCATGAATTTATAGTTTTTGTGAAAATGTGGCTTGTACGACCAGAAAAAAGGCGCTGTGTAAATGCATGTGCATCACAGTTGCAGCAAACTCTGCTTTTTGCGTCTTTTGTTAAGAAATGTGGAAGGAGCGAAAGAACCGCTTCAGGAAACAGCCTTCAGCTGCCGGGAAATGGATGTCATTTATCCATCTCTCTTTTTGTGAACCCTATAGTAGCACCGATATGCACCAGTATAGTCTAATGTTCCACTGGAACTCTACTGGAGGGGCGAAAAATCATTCTGGAGAAAAATGATTCCCTCAGCTGATGTTTTGATGATGCTGCGTCTGAAGCTTTGTCCACATATCAAGGGAATTGCTTGCTGTGTGTGGATTTTTTTTGAAGGGGACGCTGGTTGCTGTGGTGGACGTTGTAGGCACTTCTGCACAGATGATCATCTTGCATATTTCCCACTCCGTCTTCTGCTCTAACTTGGTCCCCACCGCAGTTATTTCACCTGTGATCTCTTTAAGTTACTTTCATGCTCTGTCTTTTCTGCATAACCTCTAGTCTCATCCTGTATGTGCACCGCTTAACAGTAAACAGCAACATTAGAATCACATCTTACTCAATCAGCCATTTGTGTACGCAGTGTCCTGTGCATGTAGATCCTGTCATCATGGAAGAGAACACTCAAAAGTGCTCATAATGGCACAACAGAGCTACTGGTTTGCCTCACTGTTGGTTTAAGGGTTTTCCTTTTAATGTACAGTTAAAATGTTATAAAATGAGTGTTTGTCTCAACCCCAAAAATCCAGTATCGATCGGTCTGACTCCGCTTTTTAATTTCTGGTACAGCAGGTAGAGTTGGGCTGTCTTTTCTTTGCCCTGTTTTAGTCATAACACAAAGCACAGCAGCTTGCTTCAATTCTGTACTGAACGTGTCAATGTTTTTTGGTGTTTTCATCAAACCTTCAGCTCCAGAGGAAATAATCACATTTCTCAGACTTCCAAACAAATGCTGTAAGTTGTACGCACACATTTTTTTCAGTTTTCTTGTGGGAGTCAGAGGGTGTAAGAAAAGGGAAAAAAATCTTAATGGAATGGTGTGCAACCTCTTTGCTGGTTGCCTAGCAACTTCATTCAGTGCATTCACATGCACTTTAGGTTCACACTGCATGAGAAACCGGGTTACTGTAATTGGAGCATGGAGTTAGAGGCACCTTATTTTCTGGGTGTCTGCTTCTGGTGCCTGAAAAGTCATCTTCAGTAGTGACAGATGATTGTATTCCTAAATAATTCCAACCTCTTACAGTCTGAATAACTTTTGATTACGTGAATGTTTAACTTTTTCTAACTGAATACATAAATGAATAAATTAGGCATGGTAGGGAATCTGGCTTTATTTGACTTCTACTTAGACAGCTTGCTGTTGAAGGCTTCAGCTTTGGGTTCTGCACCAGTATCTGCTTAGGCTGCATAGCAGGTCCAAAGGACTTTGTTAGTAACCACAAGTAATGACAAGAATGTAGACAACTTCTCTGCTTGGTGCCAAGTTTGCTCATTACTGTCATCAGTGTGCTGCTAAAACAGTACATCTCTCATTCTCGAGTTGATTTTCAGTATTTGGCACTTGTCAGCCGACGGTGCAGCATATGTGTCATCCACCTATAGGAGGGTATTCCTTGCCTGAGAAAGCATACAGACTAAAAGTTGCACAGGTTAGGAACGTCGGCTGGTGGCTCTTAGCTTCCTTTGCTCTTTGAATTACGCTGGCAGCAGGCTGGCGTGCTGTCGATGATATGCACAGCAGCAGGGTCTTTCAAGTGTTAAATCACAGTCTCATCCGTCAGATTCAGCTTCCTGTAGCTGATGCTTGATTAGTCACTGACTTGAAATGAAGAACAGCGTGCACGCTCATCATCATCATCACCACGCCGAGTTTATCTCAGAGGCCCGTTGCATTCTTTGTCCGAATTCTTCAAAGATCTTCATGAGAACCAGACTCATCTTCTTACTGCCTTTTCGTGATACTTTACACTTTTTTTTTGTCCAATCAGAAGAACTTAAAGTATGTATTGGCAGTTTGCATGTAGAAGCTTTTTTTTTCTTTTCTTCATTGTCTCATATGTGAAAAATGGATATGTGTGACATGTGCTTGGTATCATATAGGCTCAAAAACCCAACCATTCAGCTTTTCAGTGTTTGCCTCACAGCAGGAAAAAATGTGGAATGTTGTGGGACAGCTTTTAAAAACAGCAGATAATATAATCATACATACAGGAGCTCTCAAAAGGTGCTTTTAATTGCTTTAATTGCACAGAAAATAAAGAAGTTAGTGTTCCTCCAGCATATTTTTTTTTTTCTCCCGGTTTGTCCATCATGATTGGCTACCACAAAATAGAAACTAAAAACTTGATTTGCTGATCCTCTTTTTTGTTTGTTTTAAATGTAGGGTGTAACACCGGTCCAGGAAATGCCAGAGTGTGCTTGACCAAAGAAGATGCCGCCCCTCTTTAATGAAAGTACAGGTAGGAGAAGTGAGCTCCTAAACGTGTAATAATTCAGAAAGGTTCAGAGGACTCTGTTTGATTTGTTTATGTTTTCCAGTTTGCATGTGCCCTCATCACACTTTAATTAAAAAACAGATTTTAATTAGCAAAGTGGAAGTCAGAAAGAGAATAGTCAAATTAGCGGTGTTATGATTGGTGTTACTGCTGAAACGCTTCCCATAAATAACAGAAAACAAAGGATATGTCATTATATTTTCTCAGTGAGTGAGCTGTTTTGCTCTAGATCAGCAGTCAAAATATCAAACACATTCGCTTTATAATGATATAAGGAGGATAAAATGTTTGGCACTTTCGCCTAGTAAATGATTTATGACTAATTAATTAACTCAAAGTGAATCAGAACAAAAGAAAGTGAAATTCGAGGCTCATGTTTTGATGCCAGCAACACAACTTACCTTCTTGACACAAAACTTTAGTGCTGTAGTCTGGCAGACACCTTTCCTACAGCTGACGGAGTGTCCTGCGATTGAACCTTGACCCCAGGTAACTCCTCCCACCTGTCAGCTGTAGAGTGGCTTTAGATCACATGAGTCCTCCCCCTCACCACTCCTCTACCTTGCTCACCCGTGCATGCCCGGACATGCTGTGAAACACTGAGAGAGGGTGGAGACAAAAAAAACAAAACAAGAAAAACCGGAAGGCATGAGAGAGAGCGAGAGAGAGATATGGGGGGGTGGTTGAGGGAAGGCAAAGATCCGTGGGTGTGGGAAAGGGAAAAAAAATGTCATGCTACAGCTGCAGTTTTGGGTCGATTCTCAAAAAAGAAGCAGGACAGAAAGTGAGAGAAGAGGGGAAACTGTGGCTGTAATTGGAGCACACGGAGGGCGACTCAGACAGGGGAGGGGGTGAGATACATGCCATTAAGTCAGCGAGAAACATGCTGTCATTGACTCATTCCTCATTTCCTTCTCCCTCTTTCTTGATATCTGACAGAGCAGCTCCATGATCCCCCACGAGAAGCATGGTGAACTGTAGCATTTCAGACTCGGCGACACAAAGATCAAGACGTTGAGAGAGAATGAAGAGGTGCACCTTTCCTGACTTAACCTTTTTCTGACTCTTTTTTTTTTTGGTCAGCCTTACACCTTGGGACCTACGGGAGAAAGACAACTAGCGATAATAATCGGCTGATGCAACACTTTCAGAAACTGACAAGCTAAAGAAATATCCAGTTATTGCCTAGAGCTGTCACACACACACCGGCTGCAGCTGTACCACAAAGAGGAGTGGAGTTAGTCACCGAGTATGGGATGTGACATTCACAGTGCTAAGTTGTCCCCTGGATGTCAGGACCCCAGGAACAAATGAGCAGCAGTGGATTTGGCAGCAGCTCCAGCTTGCTTCAGGGCCGGCGTTTTTATTGCCGGGAATGGGCCCTGGACAAGCTGCGTCGCTGCCTGGACGCCCGCTCGGGGCCCGGGCAAGCTCCCGGGATCCTGGTAACGGGGGGACCTGGTGCCGGGAAGACAGCTCTGTGCACCGAGGTGGTGTCCCCCACCTCAAAGGCAGGGCTGGCAGTTGGGTTGGCACAGCGTTGCCTTGCGGCCCACTTCTGCCAGAGGGAGGACCAGACGAGTACAGTGCTGTGGAGGTTTGTCCTGGGCTTGGTGGAACAGCTGAGGGCTTCTCCTCTCCTCTCTCCAGGGTACGAAGAGCTCCTTAACAGCCCATCTGTATCCTCTTCCCTGGAGCCTCTCACGTGTCAAAGAGACCCTAATGAGACCTTCAAGAGGTTTGTACCATGTTTTTTTTTTTTTTTTTTTGTTTGTTTGTTTTTTTCTTTGTTTTGGTGTCCTACAAAAAGTCAGCGCTTCCATCTTTTGAGATCAGTTTTGTTGAAACACATCAGTGGGAAATTTCCCACTTCTTCTAAATGAAAGGGAAAAGAAAGTTGCCTGAAACAAATCCAGGTGCTCAGCGTGTATGTGCACGTTCAAGGGTATGGCTCATGCCCAGCTCATCACAGCAGAATTTATGTGGGGGTCTGTAAATCATGACGCTGATGATGAAAGCCGGAGCAAAGTTCCGACTTTGTGCATGGGAAAAGCGGTTTATCAGATTCCAAAATCAATGAAAACAGGCCGACAGAGTCCTGGCACTGCAGCTCGGTGCTGTTGTATAAGTGGCCTGTTTGAGTATTTAGTTTTAAATGTAGCTGTTAACAGATCGTGTATTTACAATGATGTTATCTGTTTACTGTCAACCTGCTGATGACCCATTTTGTGTTTTGTTAACATGATGATCTTAACTCTATGCAACACTGAAGCTATGAAATTCAATCCGTGACCATCCGGTTATCTGACAGCATCTAGGTTAGGGCTGTTATTGTTTGAATCCATGCATTGAAATCTATATAACTTTTTTTGTTTTGTGGCAGAAAGTCTGAAATTCTATTAATTTTATTGCATGAAAGATTAAAGTAGTAAGCTAAACGTCATTTCCAACACTTGCTGAGTTGCCAGAGTTGGTATGAGCTCCTGTAATTGGGGGAAGGACTAGCAGAGTTAGTTGTGGACATCTCACAAAGCCACCTTACCTTCGACCTTTTACTTGGATGGACTCGGCTTGGGTTTGAATTCACGGGTTTCCAGTGTTAACACATTTTGCAAAGCTCCCTTTTCATTGTTTGCAGTTCGGTGAAGCTGAAGTTTTTCCCACATCTCCAGTTAAGATCACTGAGCTCAAAAACAGTAGTGCTGTCTGGTCTGTCTTCTGAGAGAGGACCACCCTAAATACCATGATCCAATAGATAAAAAGTGAGCTGAATAAAGGCTGCTGTCATAAAGTAATGTGCATGTAAAGAGTGAAGCTGCCTCACTCTCAAAACAAAAACGGAGTAAAGCACGAGCAGCTGTTCATGTTGTGGGAAAATGCTCCAGCAGAGCTTAAAGGTTATCTTTGTTTTTGTCTAAATAAAGGTGGCTTTCTGCAGGTGTTTAGACTCTCAGCAGGCAGTTAACTGCCTCAGAGTCTGTACATGTAAAAGCTGCAGTGAGCGGCAAACAGAAGCCGGGACAGTCGCAGGAAAAGTGTGCAGCAGCCATTCTTCCTCGTCTTATATTTATGTCTCCCCCTCATAATGCCGCCCATTCACAACACACAATGGGGCCTCCAGTGAATGAACGCTGCAGTGTTATTTACAACATAACATCCTTTCAGAGATGGAGGGGGGAGGGAGGGAATTGAGGGGGACAAAGAGGTGAAAAAATGCCTCCGGCTCCCCGGTGACCGTCTCGGCACCGGTCAGCGAGGTCACTCTCCTCTCTGAGACTTTGACACGTTGCCGGTGTGTTTGCTTTGCGGTGAGTCGGAGCGCTGCACTCCTCCTCTGTTTGCTCTCCTCTGGTGTGAAGTGCTGAGCTGAATTGCACATTCCCCTCAGACTGGCTCGCAGCCAGCAGCTGTTTGTGTTGGGGGGGCTCTTTTGAGAGAAGGTGGCCGCGGGTGAAGCTCCACTGTGTCAGGACACCCATGGACAAATTGAAGAAACGTGGATTTGAATTGGCAGTGAAAGAGAAGGAAAATAAGCCTGTGTGTAGTGCAGTGCTCCCTCTGTCTGGGTCTGTTCGCCAAACTGGTGTCTTATATTGATTTTAATCCGAGCCATAGAAACAACTGTTCAATACTGGGTCGTGCCCTTTTTGGTGTTCGCGCTAACCTAAGTGCCAAGATGGGAAAATGTATCATTTCAGACACACGAGCTGACTGTTCACTCAGTCACTGGACACTTGTGGCTATGCTAGCTTCTTGGGAGACACATAATCTGATGACAAAGTGCTACAGACGCTGGACTTCCCATGACAGCAGTAATGACAGTCAACAGCAGGACAAATGGGCGGCTTGTAGTGAAGCTCTTTCTAAGTAAGCTCAGTAATAGGTGGTGAATTGTGTTGAACATCTTTCATATCAGTTCGAGTAAAGCCACCATATTTTAAAGTGCACATAGCATTGGCTGCAATGTCCTGTGTGTGTAAGAAAATATATTAAAAGTATACAATACAAATACAGTTGTCTCTACAGGATTTATCCAACTAGATCACCCATGTTAAATGACTGTGTCACCTGAATGAAAGAATTACCCTTCCTCCTCCTCACATCAGAGTGTTGGACTGCTGAGGGAGTGTTGTTTTAATCAGATAACTAAAAGCGCGCAGTGCTATGATAAGCTTGTCATAACCTAGCTGAAATCGTCACTCAGAGCAGGATGTCGCTCTTCTTTTTACTGCGTAATATACTTGATAATAAAGGTAGAGTCTATTATCTGGTTAGCTAAGTCTTGAAATATTAGTGACCTCAAGACATTGCAAAAGACCTTTTGTAAGCAGCTTTGATGATTCATCAAATAAAGCCACAATCTCACAAAACTACCAGTGGCTGCTCCCAGCCTATCAAATCTGAGGATTTGCTTCCTTTTATTAATTCAAACCCTACTCACGAAAAGCTATTTAATTTCAAAATAACAGATACATTAACTGATCATATAAACTTGGGAACTGTTTGGGGTGGTGCCATTTGTTTCAGAACATGCATATAATCCTGTTTGTTTTAGTGTCTCATCCAGGCATGAGATAACTATTAGGCCTATCGCTCGCCAAAGTCTAATCGTTATAGAGATGACTAATTTTTGTATATATATTTAAAGTGGTGAAACTTCTCCTCCCACTCCTTATTATGTACATATGAATCCAGAGCTGATTGATTCTTGACCCCTGAGTTTAAGCAGTTAGAGACTCAGCTTACTTTAGATTGTTTAAGTCTGAGTGAAACTCTTTTGAGGTAGTTTTTTAAAAAAAATATATAATGTTGAATATGTGACATTATTTTGAGATTAAAGTTTTTCTCCTCTTGACCTTTTACTTCTAAAACAAACAAACCAAAAAGACAACAACTGTTAAATCCATTAGATGAAAACCTGTTTGGCCTCTAATGGTACCTGGACCTTGTGGTCATTTTTAAACACAGACATTAACACTAATGACAGCTCACATACAAACCCACACCCTGTGTTTGTTGCAGGATAAGGCATTTTTGCCAGCTGTAAAGCTCTTCTGAAAACTAGCGCTGTGCAATACTGCACATCGTGGCATCGATCGGATACCAAGTAATTCCAAGTAGTGTTGCTGATAATAGCGCTGATGCTTTAAATTTATAAAGCCAGCTTATGAGCTTATGTAGGGAAGAGCAGTGTGTCATGACCTATGAGGTAAATTTTAAGTACCTTTAGGCGACTGTTGTTGTGATTTGGTGCTATTAAAAATAAAACTGAATTGAATAATCATCCATCCATCCATTCGCTTCCGCTTATCCTTTTCAGGGTCGCGGGGGGCGCTGGAGCCTATCCCAGCTGTCATAGGGCGAAAGGCAGGGTACACCCTGGACAGGTCGCCAGTCTGTCGCAGGGCCAACACATAGGGACAGACAACCATTCACACTCACATTCATTCGCACATTCACACCTAGTGGCAATTTGGATTGTCCAATTAACCTATCCCCACAAGCTGCATGTCTTTGAATGGTGGGAGGAAGCCGGAGTACCCAGAGAGAACCCACGCAAACACGGGGCGAACATGCAAACTCCACACAGAAAGACCCCGGCCTGATGGTGGAATTGAACTCAGGACCTTCTTGCTGTGCGGCAACAGTGCTAACCACCGTGCCACCGTGCCCCGAATTGAATAATCATATATTTGCAAATTCTGAACACATTTTATAACAACTAAATCACCGCACTACATGCTGAACTTGGATGGAAACAAAGTATTGATCCTCTTGTGCTAGTATCAATCTGATACCAATACCAGTACTGGCATTGATTCGATATTGGTATTGTACTATCAATATTTGGAAATTTGAATGATCCCTCAAGGGGTGTCACTTTTTTCCCCAGGTGAGAAGCTTTGGTATAATACTGCTGCTGACCTGCACCAATGACACGGAAGTGCAGCCACTGTGATTGGACATCAGGGTCAAGAAGTTCAGTGGTGTCTTTGCCGTGCATCAATAATAATAATAATAATAATAATAATAATAATAATAATAATAATAATAATAATAATAATATGTGAAAAGAATTGCCAGTTTGATAGCGTGTGTGAGAGAGAGACCAGGGTGGAGCTGGAAATTCACATGTTCCATTAACCTGAGTCACCATCAGATCACAGCAGGGTGTGGGTGCTGACCGCAGTGATTAAAAGGCAGTGACGCCGCTATTTTAGCTTTAGCCAAGTTTGTAATTGTTTTATGGTTTTGCAGCTTGTTCCGGTGTTTAATGAAAGTGTGGGGTGTGGGGCTAAATTGCTGTTTAGTTCTCTTGATTACAGTTTGATGTCTGTGTTAACAGGTTAACATGAGAGTCGGCTTTAATTTTACTGCAGAAGCATCTGATAGCAGTTGTCCTGGTTGACTCTTGTTTACCCACTTGTAGTTTGGATTTGACCTAAATTACTGTGAAAGTGTAAATGGAATTGCTTAGTTTGCCTGACATTTGCTTACTTTTTTTTTTATTGAGTTCTTTTTCAAAGGCTGAATGAAACTGATTATGACTCCAGTATTACTGAAGATTCAACATATGCAAAACAATGAAAAAACTTCCATAAAATGCAGTAAAAAATTAAACTCCACACTTTAAGTAAAGATGCCTAAAGTCGCAGCAAAGTCTGACTGTCACTCCCAGTGACTCACACTGACAATGTGTGAAAGATCTAATCTGCTTTGTTGGCACAAACGAGTGTTCGCAATGTTACTTTTCTTTTTCAACTCTATTATCAACCCACGAATCCTGCTGTTATTACATTGTCTTAAGTGTAATGTCTTGCACTGTGTGTCTGCCTCTTCCTCGCATGTCCTTAGAGCAGTGTTGGAACCCCTGTCGGACCTTCCTCCTCCTGCCCAGACTCTGATGATGGTTATAGACTCACTGGACGTAGAATATGGACCAAGGGAAGGAGTTAGGAAGAGTGGCTCCATTGCAGAGCTTTTAGCCTGCAGTCAACACCTGCTGCCCAGCTGGTTGCTGCTCGTCTGTTCGGTCCGCCGCCAAAACAAGGCCCTGTGCAAGATGTTCTCAAGTATGTACATACTTCTCTTATAAGATTATGCAATATATTACAAAATAAATAAATGCGATCAGTTACATGTGAACACAAGATGACATATGGGTTGGTTAGGGTGTGGCCATAATTGTGCAGTGAAATCACTATTTTTGTCATCTAAAAATGCACTGACAAACACTGATCAAGTAGTTTAATTGGCTGTTCACTGCAATACAGTAAACAAACAAGAATTTTCAAAATTTCTATCGAGGTGCTACTTAGGTCTGTGAAGGTTCTCAGTCATCCAGCTCATCGTAGAAGCTCGGAAAGAAAAGCCTCTGGACTCTCTTAAGTTGCCTGAAGATGTTTCACCTCTCATCCGAGAAGCTTCTTCAGTTCTAGGGTCAAACGGTGGAGAGTCCCAGATTTAAGCCCTGTGGGAGTGTCCCCCCAAGAGAGACAATTGTCCCCCTAATGCTCCTCTACCTAATCACACGAGCCAAGGTGTGAAGACGGGTGTCGGTCACAATCAGGTGAAACGTCTTCAGCAACTTAAAGAAGTCCAGACGCTTTTCTTTCCAAGCTCCTTAGACCAGGTGCTACTTAGCTTAGCACCTCAGGCAACACCCTAACGTGGTTTTATTTCTACAACTGCTAAGCACATTCTCCATTTTGCCACATTAAAAGTGGAACTTTATACCAAATCATCCAGGACTTAGATAAATTGTTAGCTGGAGGTCTACCATTACACTAGAACAACCTGGCATAGAGTTTTCAAACTAAGAAGCAAAAAAAAAAAAAAAGCATCACATAAAACTGAAAAAATGCAAAACCTAAAGAAAACTGTAGATAGAATCCATGAGGAATATAAAAAACCAAACAACTGTCCTATCTGTTTGTAGGTTTTCGTAAACTCTGTCTGGATGATCTGCGGAAGCCTCCAGCAGTCCGTGACGTACAGCAGTACATCCTCTGTCGTCTGGATGAAGAAGCAGCGCTTCGTCGACAGCTCACCCCTGATACCGCTGATATGCTGAATCTTCTGCACATCAAAAGTGGCGGCTGCTTTCTTTTTCTTCAGCGTGTTCTGGACTGTGTGGCAGCTTCGCTGGTGGGTCTGCGAGAGATCCGGGACATCCCCGGGACTCTCAACGGACTCTACCTTTGGCTGTGCCAGAGATTGTTCCCCCGAGGGCGCTTCATCTACGTAAGGCCTCTCCTCAATGCCCTCTTGGCTGCCCCGAGGCCCCTAACACCCCAGCAGCTATTCATGGCAGTCTGGACTCAGGACACCTTATTAAGTCTTCAGGACTTTGAGAACAAACTCCAAACCCTCTCTGCGCTCCTAATCGATGGAACCGGAGGCACCAAACTAATTTTTCATGCAAGCTTTACAGAGTGGCTGACAGATGTTAAGTACTGCACACAGAAATACCTGTGTAGCAGAACAGAAGGTCATAGCATGCTTGCATCATCTCTGACTCTACAGGGACCTAACCTTGACGTTGAGGAAACTTGCCAGCTAGCCACACACTTAATTTGCTCAGGGCACCATAAAGATAAACCTGCATTTTTGGCACTGTGGATGCTGTGGGCAGGTGTACGTGCTCTTAACCCCACCTGCAGTAAAGCACTTGCCACATCCTTAGCTCAGCTTCCTGTTTCAGTGAGTCAGGATGTTGCTCAATTGCTGATGAGAAGTGGACTAGTCTCTCGAACTCTTTTTTCTGGAGCAGACTCAAGCGATGCAATGCATAGTGTAGGTAAAGAAGGAATTAATGTGCAACAGACACTTGAAAGGGAGACGTCTATAAAGGACCTGCTTGCCAGTGGCATGTCTGTAAACCAGCCTGGTTCTACAGATGGACAGACTCTGCTTGCTAGTGCAGCCCACGAGGGTTCTGCAAATTTAGCTAAACTTCTCCTTTCACATGGCTCTGATCCACTCATCAGTGATCATCAGGGTCAAACGCCACTGACTTTAGCCTCCAGGCAGGGTCACGTCAAAGTGTTGTCTGAACTCCTGGAATGGGCCAAGAGCCAGGACCAAAAAACTGCAGTACAGATGATGGAGCATGTTGACAATGAAGGATGGACAGCGTTGCGCTCTGCAGCTTGGGGTGGACACGCTGAGGCTGTCCATCTACTGCTGGATGCAGGAGCAGATGTAGATGGATGTGACAGCGAGGGCCGAACTGCTCTCAGAGCTGCTGCATGGGGCGGTCATGATGAAATTGTTCTCACACTACTGGACTATGGGGCTCAAGTTGACAAAGCTGATAGCAAGGACCGCACACCACTTATCGCAGCTGCCTATATGGGACATCATGAAGCAGTGGCAATATTGTTGGACCATAATGCACGTGTTGATTTGGCTGATGGAGATGGGCGCACTGCTCTGTCAGTTGCAGCTGTCTGTGTCCCTACAGCAGCAGGGGTCAAAGGTTTTGGAGAGGTAGCAAGTCTGTTACTGGAGCATGGAGCAGATCCAGGGCACAGAGACCATGATGGAATGACACCGCTTCTTCTTGCATCCTATGAGGGCCATGAAGATGTAGTCGAGCTTTTGTTAGAAGCTGGTGCTGACGTAGATGAAACTGCTGGACCTGACGGCAGTGTGCCTGCTGCTGCTGCTGTTACTCCCCTCCTGGCAGCAGCAGCAATGGGACACATGAAGACCGTGTCACGGCTGCTTTTCTGGGGAGCGGCTGTGGATGCCATTGATTGTGAAGGCAGGACGGCACTATGTCTAGCAGCAGCCAGAGGGAGCGTAGAGGTTGTCCGTACATTGCTGGACCGAGGCCTGGATGAGAACCATAAAGATGATCTTGGCTGGACTCCATTGCACGCTGCTGCGTGTGAAGGACATCGTGCAGTTTGTGCCATTTTGACAGAAGAAGGCAGCATGGCACGAGTTGGAGAGATGGACATCGAGGGACGCACTCCCCTTATACTAGCTGCCCAAGAAGGCCATTGGAGCACTGCCAAACTTCTATTAGACAGACAGCCTCCCATTGACCACAGGGCCTATGATGGGCATTCTGCCTTGAGTGCTGCACTCCTGGAGGGCAATGCTGATGTTGCAGAGCTGCTTATGAAACGAGGGGCTGATACTGATGTCCGGGATGCCGAAGGGCGTCCTTTGCTCTACCTCCTAGTATTGGAGGGTCACCTTGATATGGCTACTCTCCTAATTGAGAAAGGGGGTGTTCCTCTGGAGTCCAGAGACTCTGAGGGCCGTACAGCGCTTCATGTGGCTTCCTGGCAAGGATTTGTAGAGATTGTAGACCTACTTTTAAGACACGGGGCGAATCCCAATGCACAAGATGCAGAGGGGAGACCACCAATACATTCAGTGGCTTGGACAGGACACGCTAAAGTAGGACATCGCCTCCTAGAAGCCAGTGGCATCAATATAAACCTTGCTTGCCATCAGGGGGCAACAGCTCTGAGCATCGCTGCCCAGGAGGGACATGCTAACATCGTTGCAATGCTTCTAGAAAGAGGCTCAAATCCCAATCACATGGATAAATATGGCCGCAGTCCGGTCAAAGTGGCTGGGAAACATGGACACTATAACATTGTCAGGATGTTGGAGAGCTATGGAGCCAAGCCATATCTAGGTGTGTTGCCTAACTCTAGTACTGTATCCCCTTCAAAATCCAACATGATCTCATCTTTAGGAATCTCAGAAAGTAGTGGAGGTGAAGTAACTGCTGCAACCTCATCGTCCTCGGTTTCTTCTCCAGGATCCACTGCAGAACGATTCCACTCCATGCAGAGCTCCCAAACCTCATCGACCTGCCACTCACTGGCCACGGTGCAGACGGTGCCAGCTGACAGCCTCAGCTTTATACAGCAGATCCAACAGCACTCACTGCCCCGCAGTCGTAGCCGTAATTCCACCCTCCCTCCACCAGGGGGCTCGGGCATAGGCAGTCTCCACGGAAGCGGTAAGAGGCAACCCAAAGGCAGCCCTCCCCCTACTGTGTGCACAGTCACTGCCATAGTGCATAATTACGAATTGCCTCAGAAAGACCTATCATCTGGACTTGAATATCATGACAAAATAAACAAACAAAGCTCAAATTTAATAAAAACAGAGAGGACTAATTACACAGGTGGTAAATGGAACTCTGTAATGGCTTCACTTGGGATAATGCCAGGACAGGACCAACCGCTAGGTGCTAAAAACCGAGAGAACGCTCCTCTCGGATACCCGTACAGGCTTCAGAACCCACTTCAAGAGGAAGCTTGGGATTCTAAACCCCAGAAGAACATTTTGTCACCGGTTTGCTACAGCTTTTCCCCCGTCCCACCCTGTAGTGCCTTGCCAGATGATGTAATGCTCACTATGACAACCACAGACCCACAGCTTAATCTCAAACGGGCCATCAAACTGCAGTTTGAGGGTCCCACCAGTGTAGCCTTACACAAGAGAGAGACGCCTCTGTGACTGGTACTCAAGTAAGTTGCCTAAGTTAGCATTGACTAGACTTTCTTCACAACCTTTTTACTGTACTGTGGCTCAGTGATGTAAATAATTCAACTGTCAGCAGCAAAAATGCAAACATAGTAACTGTCAAACCAAATTCATTTTAGTTCAAGGGTGTCAGTGAGAATAAAATTGACAGGATCAAGTCTTTGATAGGTGACTTGGTTAATTAGATAAATTAGATGGTGAGACTGTTATTTTGAAGTCCATTTATCAATCTGTTTTCTTATTTAATTCAGGATTGTAGGGGTCCTGGAGCCTATCCCAGCTGTTACTGGGCGGGAGGTCGAGCACACCCGGGACAGTTTAACAGTTGATCACTGAGCTAACAGACAGCCATTCATACCCAGATTCAAAAGAGTAAAAATTACTAATTGATCTAAAGTAATTAAGTGGAGAGAACCACACACTTACACTGCACAGCACTTATTTCCCCTTTCTTTTTTATTCACATGCTAATGATTTTCTTTCTTTTAGGTGGAGTGGGACATTTTATGTTCAAGGAGATGGCAGTTTTTTTTTTTTGTTTTTTTTTTTTTTGGCAGTGATTCACTGGGTTCAAATGAGAGGAAATCATTCCTTTTTTTTAGCATCCTTTCAGAAAACCAGAGGAAGAAGAGACTGAATGACATTAAAGCCTTTGTTTCTTTTTGTTTTACCTGTTGTGTGGGAGGAGCAGAGCACATCCTTACAGACAAAATCATGCTGATATATTTAGTGTAAAGCATGACTTGGATGTTATTTTTCTATGATAGCATACTTTTGATCGGCACTGGTCTGACAAAAAATACCTTTTTACTATTTTATTTTTATTTATTTTACCCCGTAGAGCCATTATAGAGTAATGGTTGAGGTTTTTTTGTTTGTTTTTGTTTTTAAACAGTCATGTTCAAGAGCTTTAAGCTTGTGGCCTTGACCTTTTAGGGAAGCCTTTGGTATTTGCTATAAACTGGCCTACATCCCCCATAGTTGTTCCATAGCTGTCAACCAAAAATAATTTTCAGAAAAACAAGCCTACCAGAGCCTGACCTACTGCTGGTTTATGATACAGTGCTAACCCTAAAACGCCGCCAAGTTTGCAGAATGCGACTTGGCTCACTGACAGTGTGTCTGTGAGCAGGCAGGAAGGAAAATGAAAACTGGACAATAAAAACTGAGGGTGGATGTGGGAGGGCTGTTAATTCCAAACGTGTATGTGGCCTAAAATGTTTTGTTTTTATTCATTTTTTTTTCATCAATATTTAATTACATAAATTAAAATGGCAAGTGATGCTATAAAATGTTCTGTGTGGTTCTTCGTGTGTTTTATACTTTTACTGTAGCTGCATTTCAAGCACTTTTGCAGCTAAATGTCACTGATGGCTTCTGATGTGGTTGCATCGTGCAGAGATGAAAGTCTGGCTGCGGGCTGATGCTGGCCACCTGGGGTTATGAAACCAAATGATTTTGGACACACTTGAAACTGTAGAAGGGACCAGACGCAGCTCATGGCGATTCTCGACTGTTTTTTTGAGGCGTAGCATCTGAAATCTGTAGCAACTGCAATATCAAATGTTTTGGAGTTTGGAGGCCAAGTCAATGCCTTGGGCTCTTTGGTTGGTTCCCTGAGCACTTACTGATGTGTGGTAGGGTGCGTCGAGCTGCTGCTATGTATCGGTGTGCTTGGTTAGCTACAGTGTTTAGGTAGGTGGTACATGAAAATGTAAGATCCACTTAAATGCCGGGAGCCAAGTTTTCCCAGCAGGCTCTAATTAACATTCATCATCAGTTGATTTGTATTTCTGTGTATTAACCCCTTTGTAACCTGACATGCACCTCTTTAGAAGTATAAATGCTGCTAGCTGTGTACTACATCGGAGGCTCTATATAGATTCAATACAGAAGCACAATTCAGGCGTGAGTCCTAACAATCGCCTCATGTTAGCTCCTTTATGATAAGAAGCTTGTGTTCACCACTTTTATTAGACGCCTATTTAATGTTCCCATCTGATTGTTTTATGAAGATTGGAGGGAAGAGCTACATGTTTGGAACAAAACTTATTCCTGTCTTTCTAAAGCCAAGAACAAAATGTCACACTGTCTGAATTCTTAACTATGTCGAAAACAACCGATACACTGTGAGAGCAGTCTTTGCAGGGCTAATTATTTTTCCCTCATCTGCATTTGTTTCCACTCTTAAGAGGATTTTGAAAAGTTATTTCTTGGTGTGAAGTGTCAGCCTTAAAGCGCTACGAGCAAAACTTTTATTTTAATGCAAGAGTCGACACTATCTACAAGCTGGCTGACGAAGAAAATGGAACAGCTTGAAAACATTGCGCGTTTCCATAGAGAAGCCGTACTACTGCTGCTTTACAGAGAAGCTGGAACAGTTAGCACGCTGCTTTTCCAACAAAGGCAAATAAAAATCACTGTACACACTTTCATATAAAGTCAGCACAAAAGCAAACTTAATGTGATTTTTTTTTTTCCCAGGGTGTAACATTTGGGAAAAGGATCAAATGCATATACAGGATTAAAAGCATGGTGGGTCACTAAAAACTCTGCATGTGAAGTATTTTAATGAAACTGTGAGGCACACGGAATAATGATTTCCAGAACCTTAAAGCTACTTGAGGGCAAAATGTAAATTATGAACAGAAGCTTGAATAACACACTAATACTGAGAATTTCTCCAAGACTGTAAGAAAGAGACACTGTGAGCTTTTTATATTTTACAAATGCTCTCACTAATCTGTTAATCTTCTATTGTTTTATGCTATTTTGTGTGTAGGAACTGGCTCATTTCCATAATTCCTCCACAGCTGCATAACAACATCCTTGCAGACTATACAGCGAGCACAAGGTTACCATACTCTCATGTAAATGAATTGATGTGCATTTAAAACACTGTTCGAACTTACAGGTTTAAAATTTATTTACTTCCTTGATTTTATAATTTAACATGCTCACTAAGAGTGTTGCAGGTTTGGCAGGTCATGGAGTTTCATTGACGCATTGTAAAAAAAATGTAACTGACAAAATTCTGGGGCAAGTGAACTGGGAAATGGGGTGCATCAAATGAGGAACAGGAAAGCTGGATGACAGGATAGCCAGCTGGCTAGGAAACAAGGAAGCTCGCTGAGTGAAGAACAATGGATGAACAGGATAGTTGATTGGCTAGGAAACAGCTCGTGGGAAACAGGTGGAGCTACAGAGACGGAAACAGGAAGATTCGTTCTGAAGAGCTCGCGTTGCAGTTAACAGAGAGGAGAGGAAATGGTACGTCTGCAGATAAAATCCATGGCATGTCTTTAAAGTTGCCCCATTAATCAACCAAGTCCCTTTAGTAACATCTAGTGGCAGGTAAAGGCCCTGACTTCCATGCAAATGTGTATTTATTTTGAATGTTGGATTTGGCTGCTATCTTTGAGAGATGTAGAGTAATTTTGCGTCTCTACGCTATCACAGTGGAGTTCAAGTGTCAGCTTTAATTTGTGGAGCTTGACAAAAGTGTTGTATTTACCATTTAGAAACCGAAATGCTCTTTTCTTTGATGAGGTGGGTAAAGGACCAAAATTCAGGAAACACAGAGGTTACTTAGTGGCTGTAAGAAAGAAGCAGTCTAACAGGACATGAAAACCGGTGCTGGAGGATGGTGTCACACAAATACAAACTTCATTTGACACTGAGCTTCTGAAAGAACTACATACCCTACATTTACTGTGTATGAGCAATTACTGTGGAATCAACCTTTCAACAAATGCTTGACATCATTGTGCCATTTTTTCCCCTTGTATGACACGATGACCACACTGCACCGCTGGCTGGCTAACAGACCCTGAAAGTAATTTTCACTCCGTACGAAATGTCCAGAATGTGTGCAGAGAGCATGTGTCATTCTCTGCGAAGCAATCATGACATTTTCGAGATGTGAAGCCCGCATTGAGAGACGAGTACTGATAAACAGCTGGGGAGGAGTGAGGGGGAGTTTGATCTGTGGAGAGGTTTGCATGAGTATCTCAGATGTGCAGGAAATTGACTTAAAATGCAAACAGAGCCCTCATGTTATTCTTCACTTGGCAACGGATACAAATAAGTGGGCGTTAGACGCGAGAGGATCCTCCTTCACTTCTTTCTGTGTGCAAGTTCATTCTATTAATTTTCACCACAAATAAAATCATAATTGTTGTGGGTTTACAGCTGAATTTTACTGAGCTCTTCGTGTAAAAATCCACAGTCTATATTGGTTTTTAAATTCACAAAAAGACACAAACCCCATATTTATTCATGGTGTGGAAGATCTAGTTTACGCTATTGTGAACCAAACACTGTATTTATGTCAACTTTTAATATTGTAGACAACCTTAAGGTAACACAAGATATTAGCAGGACTCAATAGACGACTGAAGCCCAATGAAGATCACACAACTTTTCCTTCTTACATTTTATTATCATTAACATGGAAAATCATCAAAACTAGAGAGATCCAAAGACATGAAGTTAAAAAAAAAGATGACAGATGAAACCTTTTTGTACCTTTTAATGTATTAAATCTGTCTTGACATTTCATGGCTTAATCTAAATGCTCAGACACACTAGAGAGAAAAACAGGATTTAAAACCTTGTGATTAGGAAAGGAAAAAAAATCAGTGATTGCAGTGAAATTATTTTCTGTCCATTGCTTCCTCCAAGTTCTGGTTGCTCAGAGGTTTAGTGTTCAAAACTCTCAACCTCTGGGCAACTGCTTTCAATCACATGGTGACTGCACCAGTCTGACTTGCAAAGAGTATACAAGTTGACCAAGTTTTCCAAATATAGCAGTCCAGTTGATTAAAGCAGACAACATATTACCATCAATCTCAGGCCGTCTGTGCTGATCCATGCAACTCGTCTACACGTGTCTCAAGATGCTCTCGAGGTTCCTGAGCATCTATGTTATTTTGCCATAAGGCAGCAAGTACATCAGTATTTGTGGAGCCTCTAGCTGGAGTCTGAATCGAACTAGTTATGCATGTAGACAGCAACAAACAGCACTTTTACTTATTTAGTTCATAGGCCCATTCAATCACAAACTCTGAGGCAATAGGACTGAGCAGGCCGACTCAGGCTTATTGCCATTTTATCAGCACAACAAAGTCATTGTGAAGACGGCAGCTCTGGTCCCCCTCTTCAAAGAAACCACTTCAAAGGCAGATTGCAGGTCTAGTGCACAGAGTTGCAGTAATTTGGTCATGCCATGTTCTCCAACCTCTCTGTTCCCATGACAGAAAGGCTTGGAACATTTTAGACATGTTCAAGAGGAAGAAAAAAATTCCAGGTAACTTCAGTAAAAGCAGCAACTCAACAATAAAACGAGTGTTGATTTATTAACAATTATTAAGAACAAATGTAAAAATGATGTAAACATGCACTGAAATAAGAACAGTGATGGTGAAAATGGTATTAGCCTTAGTGTTGAATTAAGGACGTATATACATCCCAGTAGTGTTAAAACCAGCAGAATGTCATATTGCTGCCATCAGGGGGTAGAAAAAAGAAACTTAAATCTTAAAGCTAAGCGGCTTTTGTTTGACATTTTTAAATAAATGCTGTTTGAGACACAATTTTTACAGAACTTAGTTTAGAATTTTTAAGTTTTGGTGCAATGATTCACACTATTTCTCCACCCATTTTCCTTTCCTTTAACTTGTAAGGTTCTAAATGGCAGAAGATTGCCTTCTTTGCAGATACATCTATCCAGCAAGCTCAGCCTTTGGACAATATTTAGGTTAAAGCTATCAGTTTCAATTGATATGGGTCTTCGATTGATCAGGGCCAAACTGTGATGGCTAGACAACTGAGCTCTTCGGAGTGTTCCTGGTCTGCAGTGGTAAGTATATGTCAAAAATGGTCCAGGAAAGGAAATGGTGAATCAGTGAAAGGGTCACGTGTGAGGAGGGAAGGCTGGCCCATGTGGTCTGAACCCAAAGACAAGTTACTGTAGCTCAAATTGCCGAAAACGTGAATTCTGGTTCTGATAGAAAGGTGTCAGAATTCACAGAGCATTGCAGTTTGTTGTGTGTGGCAGTGCATAGCCGCAGACCAGTCAGGATGGCCACGCTGATCCATGTCCACTACTGAAAATAACACAATGGGCATGTGAGCAGAACTTGAACACAGAGCAATGGAAGATGGTGGCCTGATCTGATGAATCATGTTTTCTTTTATATCACGTGGATGACCGGATGCCTGTGTGTCACTTATCAGGGGAACACCTGGCACCAGCAGGTGCTATGGGAAGAAGGCGAGCTGACAGAAGCAGTGTGATGCTTTGGGCAATGTTCTGCTGGGAAACCTTGGGTGCTCCCATCCATGTGGATGTTACTTTGCTTAGGTGGGTGGTATGTGTCAATGTTGCAGACTATGTAACCCCCCAAAATGTTTCAGGAACTGTTTAAGAAGCACAACAGTTGGTTTAAGGTGTTGACTTGGCCTCTAAATTCCCCAGATCTCAATCCAAACTTCCCATCTGTGTGATGTGCTGGACAAACAAGTCCGAAGTCATAATGTTATGCCTAACCTTTATATGTCATACATATGTCCACAGGATGCTGCAAAAGAAAATCTCTCAGCTCTAAAAAGCAAATGCAAATGTTCTTAATAATTTCACGCTTTCACCCTATCCCAAACGGACAGTCGTCTGCCGAATGAAACATCTGCTACAAACAGCCACATCTCACAAAAGAAAACTTGGCTGACAGTCGGGTTCCACTGCTGACAGATGCTGCTGTGCAAGAAGGGAGTGGGTGGACTGAAAAAGAGCCACAGAGCTTAACTCTTTGTCAGTAAAAATCAGTGACAGCATAAAAAATTGTAGAATTTGCAGGAATCACCGAATCCAATTGTGACGAGATGTATTTGAAACTGCTCTTTGTATCACTTGAAAATAAAAATGCCACATTGGAGAAAGTACAAACTCTCTACTTTTTAAAAATTGCAATAATATTATGTTAATGAATGCGAGTCCATTCATATTTGTGCAGGATTGGATAGCTTTATTAAATTTATGCATGAGTAAATACTAGCCTGTGCTTATCAGCTTTGGTAGAAAACTGAGCAGCACACAGATCAACACAGACATTGTGCAGACTGTGACTAAACTCTAATCTACAAACAACAGACAGCAAACAAACAGCAATTCTACTTGACCCTGAACACTTCAAAGCAGCTAAACAACAACAAGCTAAAAATGACATGAGGAACACTCACTGCCTAGTGCAACACCAGCTTTTCTTTCCTTTCTCTTTGTAGCTTAGCTTCATAGTCCTTGCTTTTATCATGAATGTAGCCTTTGGCCTACAAATCCAGGCAGACATGTGACTCTTATAGGTGCAGCTGGGCCGAATACTAATGCATCATTTATCAGTGCTGTACTTTAGGTTTTTTTTTTCTTAATATCAGCACACTTTTCCTAGTCCTGGGATGCTTTGTACTGGTATATCTTGATGCAATGATGCATGCTATCTGACACTGCAAGTTGGCCATCAGGTAGCAAGGATAGGCCACGTGGACTACTCAAACCCTGGTTTATTATGGGCCAACCTACTCCCTGTGCTGGGTATAAAAGGATTCTGTGCTGCTCCCCCCAATCTGCTACCAAAACATTACCATCTGTATCTATACAGATACCCCAGGGACAGGTCAGGACAGGTCCCATTCCTGCACATACACCCAAAACTCTAACTGTGTTCCAGCCTGGCTCCAGAACTTTGACACAAGGTACACGACCAGTTTCATTGCCCCTCTCGGATACAGCCACCATGCCTGAGCTTAAGCAAGCTGCCACTAAGTAGGGTCGGTGGAATCCAGTTACCACTGTGCGTTCAAGACGGGAGCCTGTCTTAGGGTCAAGCTTTAGGGCAATGAGGGTACCTTTTCGAATATCAGCTACCAGGAATTCATCGAGCCTGGTTACAGTCACACCCCTGGGAGCTTCCAGTTCATCTTTTGCAGAGCCGAACCCAGACCCTCCAAAGGTCTGGAGCAGTCGGCCGTGCCTGCTGAACACAAGAAGAGCTCTTTCTGCTGCACAGCTTACTGCAATCAGACCCTTAGCATTGACTGCAATGTCAAAGTAGTTCCTACACCGTCTGTCAGAGCCACCAGCAGTTGGAGAGGTCACTTGTTGGAGGACATTTCCACGAGCGTCAGTCACCTGTTTCAAAGTTGAAATTCAATTATAACCTCATTGACAGTTTCATTTCCCACTCTGAAAACAAATTTCTGTACATGTTTGAGTTGTATAACACCTACCTGAATTCGTGCATTTCCACAGTCCACTATAAAGAGCTGACCCTGTGGTGTGGCATGGATACCACTTGGCAGGGTAAGATCAGCTCGACCTGAACCTTGCTTTCCAAATTGTCCAATGAGATGGACACCTTTGGGTTTAAATTCTGTGGAAGACAAGTCACACTCCTCCTCTAACTCCACCAGTGCTTGCTGCCTTCTTTGTCCTCTGCCCCACTTTTTTGCCTCGAGTTCTGTTGTACAGGAACCATCTATAACAGACAGGGATAAAGACCTAGCCACAGGAGGTTGTGTTGATCCAGCAGCTGTAGCCTGTTTCTGTGGCTGGTATAAAATATTTTGACCTCTATAGGAAGGCGACGAGAAAGTATGCCCCATGTCAGAGGCTTTCAATTTCCTTCTGAGAGTCGGCGAGGTTGAGGTGAAGCTCGTCTTGAAGTTGCTGCCCCTAATCCCCCACACTCCTTGCTCAATTGGCCCACTAGTAATCAATGGGCGCGTCTTGTGAGTCAAGTCCACTGCAGACTTTGATAAGCGGCAACTGTAATTCAAAGAGCCTCTGTTCATACTGTAGTCATGAGATGGGCTAACAATGAAAGTATAGCTAGAATCAAGGCTGTCTGTTGGGGATGGTGCTCGGCCAGAGTCACCGAGCGTCCCTAGAGAGTGTTCATCAGAAGACTGGCTGAGGCAAGAGGGGGGTCGACCCCTGGATGTGAGGTCTAGGCAGCTTTGGCTGGCTGAAGGTTCTCTTTGAGATGTTAGGGAACTGTTGCAGTATCTTAAAAGTCTATAATTGGAATCTTGACCTACTCTTCCCTTATCTCCATTTTGACCGTCTAAACTTAAGCACTGACTAAGCTTTATATGCTGCTGTTTTTGTTCAGGTAAAAGGTTTGGCTTCCTGCTGGAGGCCACAGTTAGCCATTTCCTCTTGTTCCTTGGTGAGTAAGGTTTCCCATTCTTGTTTATCTTGTCCTCGTCTTCCATGTCCAATTTTTTAAGAACTGTAGGTACAGCCAAAAATACGTCCTCACCTTGTGGCTGGAAGGAAACTGATTCTACCTCATCTTCCTGAGATGATTCCCAGTCAGCCTGTTCGCAGTGACATATCTTTGCAGAAGAGTGCTTTTTTTCCTCCTCTGATTCTAGGTCACCCCGGTTAGAAAGGCTGATCTTTCTAACAACCCTGCCGGTTGGTGAAATAAATCCCTGTCCTTGGGTGCTCTTCTCTTTTCCAGAACCTTGATAGTTTGTGTCTTCACAGAGCATCTCTTGTGAATGAAGAGCACATGGCTGTCCTTGTGGCCCACAACCTCCAGCATGCAGGCAAAGGCTTTGTTCTTGAACACGAATATCTCCAAAGTTGACAGCATTCGGTTGTGAGCTTGGTTTGAAGTTCACTTTCTTTAGAGAAACTGAGATTTCCCAAGGTTGTAGGAACTCTGAAATCTCCTTCAGCAGTGGGTTCTGGCTTGGCCCACTGTCCTTTACAACTGATTGACCCAATTCCTGAATCTGCTTTTTCAGTTCTGCCAGTTTACAAAGCCGCTGGTCCAACAGGGACTGGCTGACCCGGGCTGCTGCCACGTTCTCCCGCTGGATCTGGTCTAGACGCTGCTGAGTGTCCCGATGGTCCTGCTCCACCCTCTCCAGCAGGCGCTGCTCTTCTCTGCGTGCTCCCAGGATAGCTCGCTCTACACCACGCTTTACAGATTCAGTCTCAGTTTCATGATGCTCCTGCAGCCTGCGCAGCTCTGCCTCTGCCTGGGCAAGGTCACACTGTGCCTGGGTTACCCAGCATGGAGGGTACTGATGCAGGAGAACAACAGAGGAAGGACCATCTGACTGGCAATCAGGGCTTGGACAGTGGCCTGGGATAGGAGAGGTGGGAGTGCTGCCCAAAGATGTTCCCAACATTATGGATTGATGGATTTGTACTTCTCCAGTATTTAGTTCCTTCAGAATGACGGAGAGATAAATACAGAAAAAAAAAAAGATCAGCTTCACTCGGGGCACAACACCACTGTAAAGTTCTGGTGCATACATTTCCGAAGCATTTATCAAAACCAACCGATTTACTTCAGCATGACTTTAGGAGTGAGTCATAAGTTTTTGTACATACTTCAAAGTTTTCTTTTCAATGTTGGGATTTTATTTTGAACCTATGTAGTCTAAAATTAAGCGCTGGTCATCTACTGCATTGAGTTTATGCACAATTTTATACTCTTTTAAAAGTAGCTTAAAATATTAGTCCTGTGACTTAAATATACCTGTAACAAGTATGATTGCAATCTAATAAACTGCCATGCTAAGAATAGCTAAGTATAATTTCAAATGAGATTTGAAACTCTTGTGTTTTAACGAGTTTTGTTGTATTGGAGCAGCAACATGCAGCATATTCAGTCATCCATCTGCACTAAAATTGGGATAATGGCATCCAGTTACAAAACACCTCACTCCCATGAAATTATCTGTCATTAGGCATGATGTTCGTAATGCGTAAGTGTATGACAGACAGAAATCATGAATCAGTCACACACCAATTTAGTCTGGCAGAGGTGACTTTCGCTTCGTGCATGCTTGCTTGTGAAGTGCTTCTGAGTAAACAGCTGCTTATGGAAAGGTGATACAGATATGAAGAGAGGCCATAAGAGAGCTGAGGCTGTGGGTAGAAAGAACTAGCTAAGGCAAGGAAGAAAAGTTTTGAGTTCAGTGTCGAGAAATCTATTAGCATTTCAAATAGCAGCAGACAGCCAGAAGCATCCAGAGTGAGGGCGAGAGTGGGAGGTAAGGAGACAGCCAGTGTGTCAACACAACAGTACTTCTCAACTCCCCAGTCCCTGCGAATTGATCTTGCTTTGATATTTTATTCATGAGCTGTACAAAGCGATGTAGAGAAGCAGCAGTGAAAGATGTCGATCCTCTGTGTGCTGTATTGTGATAACCACGGCGAGCCATCACAAAATCAACAGAAGCACTTATGCAGGGTAAACATAAAGAAATTTATATCCCACCTTTCTGTCAGATGTGGAAATAACAACAGTCACAATTCAACAAGTAGCTTCAACAAGATACTCTACTTCAAACTTTCTCCTCAAAAGTTTTTGAAGTGTACTTTTGACTTTAAGCTTATGAAGCATAAAATAGACAGTGACTGTTGTTTTTAGGCCTATTTGATGGTACAGTAAAAGTAAATTACTGTGCTATACTGCATGTTCTGTTCAGTGAGATCATGTATATTATTGAAAATAAGGAAAAGAATTTAAAGTAGTTTATTGCATTACCCACAATATGTCAAATGTTCAATTATGATAATACTTCAGAAGTCACCTAAATTCGATTGAATACAAAATAAATACAAAGTGTTTTTAGCTACAGCTAGGAAACTAGCTTTAGCTAGCACCGTGATACCCTACTTAATGTGAGTTACATGCAGTTTTATTTCAAACCTCACTCCATATCGCACTATGGGAAGTGCCTCTTGGTGAGAGCAATTGAATACCGGGTAATATTTCCAGAGAACTACAGTTACTCTAACCAAATGCTTCATTTGGGGACAGGTAGTAGTTTAACATTGGTGGGAAAAATTAATTACCATAGCAAAGGTCATAGAAGTGAATGAAGCTTGTCTTTACTAGTTATGGGCAATCTAACGTCCTATAACTTCCTTTTACCTAAACTGAAGCCGAGCTCCCAAAAGTTGTACACAAATCATAAGTAAAGCAAGCTCTATGGTTCTGCTTTTGCTTGGGTATGTAGAGAAAAGGATTTCGGGTATTCAACCAACACAGATCCATAAAAAACAGTCGAGAGAAATATATTTATTGCTGACTGCATTTATTTTACTTTTTGTATTAGCCTGTGGCATTTGTATCAGCTGTACGAATTAAGTATTTCAGTAACAAGTCTGCTGTCTGCAGTTTACATTTTTTAATATTAACAATTAAAAATAATGAAATCCACAGCACTTACAGTTTGTTACTTTAATACTTCAAAACATTGTAAGCAGCAAAACGAATCACTGAACCCAAACTTTAACCTGGACATAGTCCTTCAAAAACAAGCAATGAATGTTTCCACCATCATTGCCAGTAACTTTATCTATGTTGGGGATAAGTGACAGGAGGAACTGTGGTAGTCCCATCTCTGGTAGGACTGGCACAAGTCGCCAAAGGTTGTGCTCACATTACCAAAGTAAATTATAGATGAGGGAGTCCAGTTGCTCATGTTTTGAATGTCAGGCCATGTAAGGAAAAGTCAATAGGAAACCTTGTAGTATTATTAAAATAACAAAAACATAAAAACAAAATTAAAAACAGAACTTTACATGTAATCAAAGGATTCATGATATGTCAAAAAAGTGAATAATGAAAATTAACACCCACACTTTCAAATAAAATAAACTAACAAAACATTGAAATTGTACTAGAAAATAGGTATATGAAATACATCTGTAGGGGAAGAAAACAAAAAACATCAAACCCTGCAATGTCTTACCTGTAGTCAGGTACCGGCTCTGCTCCACCACTCCACTCTTCTCGACTACATCCCTGTACTCCTCATACAATCAGCCTCCAGCCCTCCCTCTGTGCCATTTTCCCTCTTGTTTGCTGTTGCTAGGACACAGCCAAGCCAACTCCAGTTCCCTCTTTGTGCAGACTTCAAATTGTGTGGATCCACATTTGACATTTGTCTTGGTGTTCAAACTGTGTACTTTATACTTTACTTGAACCGAAGATGTGTGTCTTAGAAAATGCAGCGAGTCAGAGTAAATCTATTAACTCAAACCACACAGTATGTTGCTTCAGGGACCACCACATATTTATGTCATGTAGCTTTATGATGAAAACCCATGGAAGTTTTCAAGCTATCGTTAATGCTAGAGATTTACTTATCTACATGAAACATTGATTTCTAGGGTCAGTGAGTCCCCACCCCCCGAAACATGAGCCATTTATATTCTCTGTGGTGATTGGGGACAAATATTATTATTAGTTGATCAATCAAGTTCAAACACTGTGCTGTAATGTCTCCAAATGTCTTTTCTGACCAGTGGAAGAAGGCTAACCTAGCACAGGGACAGTGAAACACATCTCTACATACACACCAGTTAACCCGACAGTCATGTCTTTGGACTGTGGGAGGAAGCCCGATTACCCGGAGTTGGCCACATGGGCACAGGAAGAACATAACCAGGAGGTTCAAACCAGAAACCACCTTACTGTGAGGTAACAGTGTTACATACAGTTATTCAAGTTAATTCAAATTCAACTCACATTCCTGAAATTCACATTTTTACTTTAGTTATTCAAGAAATTCAGATATAAATTCTTCAAAGTTAGGGCTGCGTGGTACATTTATATAGTGACGACTGCAGAATGCTCATTTTGTCTGACCAGAAGGGCAAATCCAATATATCTAAATTTTACAAAGAGAGAAAAGCAAAACATCCTTAGATTAAAGCAGGAACACAGAATGCTTTTCTTCATTTCTATCCCATATTTTATAATTGTGTAATAAAAACATTATTGTTAGAACTTGTTAGAAGTCTATCGCAAATCATTTATAATAACTCAACAGAGCTCTAAACTCTACCAACAGAGCAGGTAAGACTTTGACACAGAGATATCCAATCTTAAAACATAGTTAAAAAATAAACAGTATTTGTGCAGTGTGGAAATGCCTGCTAGTCATTAGGTGGCTCGGTCTCAATGTATCCCGACAGAATTTTAAGGAAATGCCAAACAGTTACTTACTTTAGCTAATTTTCAACTTATGTAGTTTTTCCTCATGAAAAAATGAGTGTTGGTGTTACTGGTTAATGGAACATTGGATGAGCAAAAAAAGGACAATTAGAACCAATGTTCTAAAAACATTCACACAGATGAACAGGAAATGCAGTGAGTAAAATGGCCATTTTAGGCAAATAATTACTGTGAGTCAGCCTGGAAAACAAAAGTTTCCATCACATTTTTTGTTAAGCTGCGGGGGGCTTCTAGCAGCTGCCTCCTCCTTTCACCAAATTACAATACTGTGCAAAAGTCTTGAGTCACCCTTCAGTTCTTTATATTGTGCTTCCAAAGAAGTCAGCGTTTGTTGCAGTTTTTATGTTCACACCAGACTTGTACCTGACAATTTTCAGAGGAGCGCTTTTTTTTTTCTTTGTGTTTGTTTTTTTTTATTATAAAGTCACTGACCTATGATTCATTCACGCTTAACTCAAGGGATGAACCACTGCTTTGTCTTCTCAACAGACAATGAACCAATTTTAAAATTGTATCTTTAGGCAATTTTTTCCTGGCAGCTTGTCACAAAACATCATTTGTTCCCATTTTTACAAATAATAAAAAAAATAAAAATGCCAGAAACAGTTTGACAGCCATTAATTAGTATTTTGAATCAACATGGTCCTTTCCAAAGAGCTACTAGATAAAAAAAAAATGGGAAATCTTGCCATAGTGTGCAGTGTGTCCTTTAAAAAAAAAGTAAGAAAACAGAGCATGTGGGGGTCAAAAGAAGACGTGTCAAGCCTGGAAACTATCTGCAGATGAACAGTAAATTGGGGGGCACATAAAAAAAAATAAATGGTAAAAACCTAACATAGGACCTAAGAGCTACATCTGGCCCTTCAGTTGATCCACTTACTAAGCATTCATCGGGTTTGGAGAAGCGATGAATCTCAGTGTCAAATCTTTCGTTTAAATTGTCATCAATATGTACAGAGGAGGTCAGGAGGTCGGCAGACAGTGAGTTTCTGCAGCTGTCTAAAACACACTGGAGGCTCGGTCATTGGTTTGGGGCTCCATCTGAGCCAGTGGTGTTGGAGATCTTGTCAGAATAGATGAATTATAAACACAGAACAGTACTGATTTTGATCCAATGTTAAGAGCCTTCCAAATAGCATCATTTTCAGCATGATCCCAAACACACTGCCAGTGCAGTAAAAACATACCTGAGAAAAAAAAGAAAAAGAATTGTACAAATGGGTTTTTCCTCATCTACTATATGTACGTTTCAATAAATCGTTGCCCCCATTTCCCTTACAAAAGATAAAGAAAAGAGGGGTGGCTTGAGACTTTTGCAGAGTAGAGTGCCATACCAAGGCATCAGATTTAACACTCTGATATTTCATTCTACTTTTATGACATGAATGTCTCATCTCACACAATTTTTATTTGAAGGGGTTGTCTGTCTCAGGCACAGTATGCCCATGAATTCATCTGCATGTTTCCACAAGTATGGATGGATTTTAAAAGGACAGGAAGTGATGTTACTTTGTATGTTTATAGTTTTTGAACTCATTACTCAAGCAGAAAGATGAGCTGGTGCTCACAAGTACTGGGTGCTGCCTCTTCTGGAGCACGAGCCAACATCTTATGTGATTCAACAGGAGTATGAGAAAACGAGGATATTTTTAAACTGAAAATCTCCTCTGCTGGAGTCCCTTTACCAAGACGTTCAAAGAAACCCAAAGAAAAGACACCAGGACAAGTGTTGTATTGCTAGGCAAAAAATTTTTATAAATTAATAAAAACATTCCCTTTGTAGTGTTCTTCTGACAGCTTTTCCCACTTTGCAAGTTGTGTTCTCTTTTTCTCTAATGATTTCAAAATATAGAAAAATATTTCTGACAACATTCATCATGACATGATTTTCAGATGATTTTCATTCTGTAGCGTTAATCATTTCACATTCGTCTCCCACTTGCTTATCGTTGTGTGTTTGTGTTTATTTATATATATATATACTGTGTGTGTGTGTGTGTGTGTGTGTGTATATATACACGTATATATATATATATACACACACAGTATTTACACATCAAAATAAAATCAATCCATACCATCTCTCAGCTTCAACCCAGAGACACCAGAGCATGTTTTGCATAGATCACAGAGGGGAAAATGTCAGACGTGAAAGGTCAAAGCCTTTGAAAGAAACAAGATCATAACAAAAAATATCAATATCAAACATGGCACAGATTGGACATTTTGAAGCGGCAAATGAGTCCTTGAGATGTTTACTGTCCCACCCCTCCACTTTCTCCAGGTGGCGCTGCAGCTCGCAATGTAAAAACAGGAGTGGCAGTTCAACATTTTGGATTGCTGTTTGCGTTCACAAAAAAAAACAAAAAAAAAAAAACCCCAAAAGACATTACACGCTCAAAATTAAGCAAAAACACAGGAAAATTTTCAAAGAACAATTTTAGTGAAATTTATTTTAAAAGTTATTTTTTACTTAATTGTCAGATCAATTTTAGTGTTCAAGAAAATGTTTAAAACACAGCAGAAAAAAAAAAAGTAAAAACAAACAAAAACTGCCAAACATAATCTTCCGGAGCTTAGCTTTGGGTTTACAACAACTCCTTTTTTTATTTGTCAGTTAACAGAGTCTGAAAACAACAATAGCAGGCCAAGGAAGCAGGTTTGGAGTCTGAGCAGAGCTGAGACGCTGCAGCTCACACTGGCTGAGATGCTCGTTCATAAAGAGCTCACAGGTTTTGGAAGGCCATCGTTCATTGTGCTAAACAAATTAAGCAGGAACTTTTTTTTTTTTCTCAGATTTGTTACAGCATGATTACTCCGTGGCCACTAGAGGAACAAAAACATGTTGTGCATCCAGCCGTGGTAGCAGCTGAAAGCAGAAAGCGTCAAAATCAATTTCCCAAAATGAAAACGAATAAGAGGAAAAAAAGGCCTGTGCCCCCGTCCATGACCCCTGTTATGTGAACGATTGGAGTGCTCATGTATATATTTTTTTTTTTCTTTAAAAACCAGCAGAGTATGAAAAGCAACTTCCATAAAGCTAAGTAAATCATCACAGTCACCATGAAGCCTTGATTATATTTGCCAGACTCCCTTTCATTTATCTGTGTGCAACGTGTGTTTTTTCATATAATCACTGCTCTAAATAAACTTCTGCTTACAGTCTTTCAAGGAAGACGTCAAAGGCCCTGGTAGGAAACAATCCCCTTATAAAAACGCCACATTACAAACTTCATCACATTGGTTTTTGTATACTTGCAAATGAACTAAAAAAAGATCAAATAAAATTAAAAGATTAACCGCGAGTACAGACTGCAATCCCTAATTAGACAGATTTATTAATGCCACGTTCTTACTGAGAAGCTCCCTTTTCGTTAATTAGGCTGAGCCTTAAAAATTTCAAATGATTAAAAAACAAAAACTCTAACTGGCACCGTTTTGTGGTCGTGAAACGTTGACTAAAGAAGCGCGATTCGTGGATAAGGTTCATTACAGTGTTCAGACCGTGTACCATCAAACTGTCTATAATTGCTTAAACAGACATTGTGAGTTTCAGGTATCAGCGATTGTCTTTGGTGTACCATGAACACAAATGACTGTAACTGTGACTGGAAGTGACATTAAGAAACAGAGCAAGTACCATCAATCTTTATCAGAGCTGTTTGTAAAAAATAGTTTTGTTAGAAAACACAATCTTGAGTGTAAAAGACATGGAACCTGATGAGGAATGAGGCCCTCTGTTCTCGCTTTTTTGTTTCCTCTCCCTCGCTCTTCAGATCACACATGTACAGCAGACTGGGTGATACGCGGATGGACGGATGGCAGTGTGTAAAGTACAAGAGAGATTTCTCTACCCAGAGCAAACATTCAGCGTGAAACCTCGCTGTCATCGCCGAGCTCTGCAGGTACACGACTCACTAACCACTAAACCCTACTGCATGGAAGCTAATTTAAGCTCAGTACTATTGCACAAACCAAACACTACTTAACTGTTAGTTTATCATAAAACCTCGCCTTATCTGACATGCAGAAACTATTTACCTATTAATAAAAAACCAGAAACAAACTATGGGTCATTACGAAATGCATCTAAGAAATTCTGTAGAAAAGTGACTCACAGCCGGGACGAAATCCCACACGTACGAGCACGACGAACGCGGCTATGGCTTCGACGAGCTGAGGACGTCTCAGCTTGTTGCAGAAAGTGAAAGTAGTGTAATGGGAAAGAAATGTTAGACGTTTTGCAGGGTGGCAGGCAGTTTCTCTACTGCTAAGAGTTGAGAGAGAATGGCTAGTATGTGCAAATATGTTACTTGGAAAGCTGGGTCACAGGTAGATGATTTAACAAAGCACTCCTAAGAACAATGCACATTTTTACAGTTTTTACAGTTTCTGGTAACATTACAGAAAACTGCTACAGATATTACAGAGCTGTAAAATGACTACTTACCATTTTATAAAAAAACAAAACAAAAAAACCCCAAAAACAAATTAGCAACACATTACAAAGGAAAACAGTGAATATCAAGTCTTGGCAAAAGCTTTTAACACTGTGTGGCTGCAACTTCATTCAACCTCAAAACACAATAAATTAAAGAAAAGCTGATCACAACTTGCATCAGCACCTCCACGTGCACATTTATACTTGGTACCCAATGAAATAAAAAGATAGAGTAGCTATTTCACCATTAAAATGGGTGTTAGTGTTTCAAAAAAAAAAAAAAAAAAAAAAGTAGCAGCATATTATTTTCCCAGGTGTGCTGTGTGTTCGGTTTGGCCTGTCTCACCAAGAAAACAAGATCTTTTTCGAGAAAAGTCATGAACACCTCATGAGATTCTGGGTCATCAAATTCAAAATAAGGGAAATAATGCCAACGCACAGGTGGAATTAAAAAAAAATTAAAAATCGTGCAGAATTTCAGGTCTTTCAAAAACACTGAATGACACACAAAGGATGCAACACGTACAAGTACGTGTTGCAGTGACAGTGATCAGGGTCACTGGGGTACAAAAAGTGGGCACATCTTTTTTTTCTTCTTTTCCAGAATTCTGAGGAAAAAAATTTATTTGACTTTAATGTCAGGATTCTGACTTTTTTCTCAGAATTCTGAGATTAAAATCAGAATTATGGGAAAAAAGTAATTCTGATGAAAAAGTCTGAATTCTGGAAAATAAGAAGAAGAAAAAAAAGATGTGCCCACTTTTTCCCCAGTGGCCATGATCCTCTTGCCGGCTTCGTGATTCCTCCGCTTAATTTTTTTATTTAATTTTTTTTAAATGGCGAACAGTGAATGGTTAGCTAATGGCCTGAACAGTTGGCGTCACCTTTTTGGAAAGGAGTGATTCATTCAAATAAACTCTCATACACAATGGCAGACACATCTGCTCCCACATGTTGCTGATATGTCTATAAAATGGTGCAAATTCAGAAGACAAATGTTTAAAACGTTAAAAGAAAAAGGCAATAATTACCCAAGTTTCTCAGTACAATTATGGTAGTCGTGCTGATTCACAGGAGACAAAGTGGCGCTCTCCCACACGGAGGTTTTTCCAGTTTTCATCTCATTCAGTGATGACTAGCATTTAGTGCAGCCTTTTTAAAATAAACCTAAAAAAGCTCCCATGTTTTTTGGGAACGCTTCTGTTTTTTAAAGTGAACTTTTTCTCTTAGTCCGTCCTTGACAAAAGCTCTGATGAAAGCAAACATGAGCCAGCTGCACGGAGATGACCAAACTGATGGGATTACTTTGTAAGTGGCTGACTCGCGCACGCTTTCAATCTTTTCCTGCCCAACAATTTTTGGTGTTTTTTTCTGTTGTTGTTGAAGAGGAAACCTTCTTTGTGCCAGCCTGAAAGCACCCTTTCAAAACAAAAGATAACAAGTATTGACTAGCACCAATATGTGCACCTACTTCTGTAATCTGTGGCTTTACTGTGTCGTATTATACCATGAAATGGCATGTGTATATACAAGCTCCTGAATCTCAAGTATTTACCGAGATTTTCTGTGTACAGGATGTGAATATAATACACGATATGCACAATATCATAAGTGTACAGATGAGGAAAATGATTCCAGTCCTATAGGTATCCTATAATAATTTTAGTAATAAAAAAATCCCAGTTTTCCTCTTTTGTCTGCTTCGTTGCAGACGATCCGTTTCAGTGACAGAAAAGTCTCACGTGTGTCCTGATGGGAGAATCCTATATCAATCTCTTCTTTGTGTACAGCCTAAATCAACAGACGTGAAGCTAAGTTTGAGGAGTCTGAGTTTACCTTCTACTCCTCTGCTTCCTGGCTGTGAGGGAAGGGCAAAGAGACGGCGTGCTCCTGCGTGAGGGCAGCCAGCTCCTTGAGGAACTCGCAGAAGATAACGGCGCAGTAGACGGCGTTCTTTACTCGCAGCGCTTCAGCTTGCTTCTCAAGGCCAGACGCACCTCCGCTGCCCCGGAACAGAGCGCTGTGCAGTGATTGGCCGCCATCCCGTACGTGTGCGAGGGCGAGCTGAGCGGCGTGCCGAGCCCGTGTTGGACTGTTTGTGTGACGAAGAATCAGGTCTCCGAGAGATGGCTTTCGACTCTTCACTGGAAGAGAAGGGCAGGGTTTCACAACAGGGAAATAAAACTGTGACGCGAGACTGCTCTGACATCTCTGTGATTTCCCGGCGTTTTCAAAGATAGAAAAGAAGTCACCAAGTGGGCCTATAGTTCTGATTATCTCCTTTAATGTGGAGTTTGGTAACAAATCACTGCACAGCAAAAAACAAAAAACCCTCAAAAACCTCTAAACCTGAAGCAAATCTGTTAGGTATGTTTGTTTTTTTACAAAGTACTAATGGTAAGATGTTACGGCACCAATAAATCGCTTCTTCTGCTTTCTAACAGTTTTGTCTTTTTTTTAATTTATCCTAAATTTTTCCAATTCAAATGTACTTTTATTGGAATTTCGTTGTGTTTAAAATATTTTTAAACATCTTTGTTCATTGGATTTTGGTAAATTATCTGTGATTAACACTTCTCACTAAATTTATGACCAAAGTCATCAAAGCCACGCCTGTATGTGTAAATGTAGCTCTTCCTATTTCTATACTCACCAAGGGAATCAGAGCGGCGCAAAGTAGGAACTGCTGCCGGCGAGTCGCTCCAGTCCACTTTGCTTCGGGCCACCAAGTACTGCTGGGCTTTCCTCAGCATGGCAGGAAAGTCCTCGTGAGATGCGGCAAATGCCTCGATGCGGTTCTTCACAGAACCTAAAACCTGAGGAGAGTTGTGGAAACAAACTTTTAAACTTTTTGATCACCTTTGCTTGGTGTTGTTAACCCCTCTCTCAGGCTTGTCATCCCCTCAAGACTAAAATTCACATGAACTTAACAATTTAAGTTTTATAAAAGGAACAGAGTCTATTGCCTTCAATAAACGCGACACTTTGAGGGTATAAGTTTGAGAAAAATCCACGAAGTCACTAAAACTGAAACTGTTGAACTTTCTGTGAATGTGCTCGCTGGGTGTGGATGGATCACTCAACTGAAACTGCAGTTATATTTATTCATTTATTGTATTTTTTTATGTCCACTGCAGCAGTGAATTCAAGTATCTGAAAATAAAGAAAATGAATGTGGAAAGAAACTGGATGCAAATATCACTGTGGGCCTGATGATTTTGGAACCAGAGCGTGCACAGAAGTAAGGTGGGCTGGAAGTGGACAACTATGCCTAAAGGCAGACACCCAAAAACTGTAATCCTTTCAATGACAAAAAGAAACTATTCACTTTCTCTACTATTTTCAGAAAAAGGGGAAAGAGGGCATCAAAACCATTATAAACAACTTCTGCATAGTGCAGCGTACCTGGATTAGTGACTTGACACTGGGCTGGAAGACCATGTTGGTGTTGAGCAGGAAGGAGCGTAGGAGGGGCTGAGGATAGCAGGCCAGCTGGGCCACAATGCCAGTGAGCAGGATGTTGACGTATAACGAGTTTTGGAGCATGTTCTCCAGCTTGGCAAACAGAACTGTCATGAATGGACCTGCACGGAGGAAGAGCGGTGGATCATTGAATAGAAAGATAGAATGCTCAACTCTTGTCAGCAGGGAAAGAGTAACTGCTTCTCAGAAGTGGGTTTTAACTGCTTGTGATTATATGGTTGCAAATCCTTTCACCATCCTTTAAATATAGTCGAGAAGAGTACTTAAGTTTGAGGAATTGACACTGCAGATAGAAATGTTGCTGATTAAAAAGGTGGTAATTACACCATCAACCACATAACTTCAACAGCTGTGCTGTTAGCAATTATCAAAAGCAAGAGCTCAGTGATACAATTCCTGTTACACATCCAACCACTTATTTGATACAGCAGTGTGAGCATGAAAATATGATGACAGCAATAGACGTATCCACAAACTGATGCAACAGTGAAAGAAATCCGTGAGTCTCACCTGTGTATGGCTGGGACACAGGTTGGTTCAGTGGTCTGGCAGGACTACAGATGCCCACCGCAGACCCGTCTGCCTTCACGTCACCTGTCAGCTTCCCCTCCAGTGCTGATGACAGCTGCTGTTCTTCTTCCTGGCGCTCAGTGGACAGACTCTCTCTGGCGATTTCCTCCAGCTGACAGGCTGCTTTGCAGCGCTCTTTCACCCGGTCCTCCAGTTCTCTCAGCTCCTGTGTGAACGCCTCAATGCTAATGCCCTGACCGTTGGCATCGCCAGGTAGCTGTGGGTCTCCCGGCGCCTGCTCCAGCAGCTCCTCAATAAGACTCTCTACAGACTGCTGACTGGCTTCTGGAAGATCTGAGGATGCATCATGTGGGTTTAAGGTTTCACTTGACAGCAGTTTGGTATCAGATGCTGACTGGTTAATGGAGGTCTGAGTAAAAATCTTGCTAGGACAAAGAGATTGTGCATCACTGATGTCACTGTTGCTAAAAATAGACTTTGGGAGAGCAGTGCAGCTTTGCGAGGGGCAGTTAACAAGGGAACCATTTTGGTTGGCGTTTTCATCCAAATACTGCTGATCACCCAAGTCCCTCTTCACTTTCTTCACCTCCAGTCCTCTATCACGACTGTCTGAGCACCCGTCTCCCTGCACCATTGTTCCATTATACATAGCCTGGTAGCTAACAGTGATGGCAGATGAGGGGATGTGAGGAGCTGGGGAGGAGATGGGATGAGAAGTGGATAAAGCGGTTGCTGAAGACGAAGAAGGTACAAGAGGAGGTACAGGCTTGGGAGGCAGCTCCTCTCTCTGAAGGCTGCGTTTCTTGGAGCGAGGCGTTAGGCTAATGCAGCTGTTTTTGCCAATCGTAACATCCCACTCTCCGCTGTCCCGCTCAGAGCTACTCCATTCAGACCGCGCTGCTGCCACAATGGCCGCCCTTTGCTGACCGGGAGAAGAGTTATGACTTCCTCCCTGCTGGAAAGAGAAGTGCTCAGGGAACATAGTCATTGGGACATTGGAGGTAGGGGGAAGTGGGGGTGGCGGGGCTGTGTTTGGGGATGGGTTTTCGCCATCATATGGTGCCGACCAGTCACGACAAGCCCAAGAGCAAAACTCAATGCTCCTCCGAGCGTCCTTAAGATACTCCAGATAACCTGAATCCCAGTCCAGACAATCTGTGTGGGTCTGCTGATGGTGCATCGGGCTGTCAGGAGACATCTGGTGGGAGCTCGAAGAACTGGACTGCAGTGGATCCATGCTAGAGGAGGTAGGAGCACCTCCACCTCCTGATCCACCTCCACTGCTCTGCTGTCTCATGAAGAAGGACAAGCGGGATGGAGTGCTGGGTCTGGGTGGGGCGGGAGACTCTGTGCTGGGACTATTCAGTACTGCAGGATGACAATATACGGGCAAACAGGAAAACCATGAGTAGAGCCAGGATCTGCTATCCCAATTAATACAGACACTGTATGCAAACAATCAACTTACATACAATAACATTCCTAACACCAAGAGTTTTCCATGCAAATTCACTCTGGCTCTACAACTAAAGGTCTTAAGTAAAGTAAGTGACTAGAGTAGCTGCACAACTATTGTGTACAGTACATTCCACTCAGTAAAAGATTGTATTTCAAGTGCAGTTCATATCATTTACAACCACAACTATTAGTGTCAACTGCTCACTTTCCACAAGTGTGTAGCTCACCTTTGCCCCAAAATGGATTTTCCTCATCTCTCTCAGAGGAGGCAGCTGCGTTGAACCGGCAGCACTCTGGGATTAATGACAGGAACTTGTCCGCTGACTTTCCGTATAAGTCAGTCTCCCTGATAGCACGGCGCTGACTCAGCATTACGTGAGTACATGGCAGGAGATACCTGAGAGCGAGAGAACACACAGAAGCAACTTCAGTAATTTTAGATAAGTTAATTCACATGCACAGGATATAGCTTACTATTCAGGAAGCTTAAACTGTGTTGTCATTTTTAATTCTACATTTCCATTCTTAATATTTGCCATATTTATCTTGCTGTGACAAACCACCTTAAAACACAGACAGTATGCCCTAATCACAGCCTGCAGGTAATGTGTTAACGGGTGGGGGGTCACTGGCAACTTCTGACAGTAGTATGGGAAATGGGAGAAACAGCCATTGGTAGTTCATAAAATTTTTGTAAAAATGGGCAGAAATAACCTTGTCTGTATCGTCTCGTGGTAACTGCTGACAGATGGTGACTGTGCGTCATAACCTTTACTTAATCTAAATGACTAGATGTGTGAAGAAGCCCTTTGAAAGTATAACATTTGGCAAAATGCTCTGAAGCGCACACAAACCTGAGTACAAGCTGTAGCATGACGTCTTCACAATTCAAGGACAGGAGAGTCCTGAAGAGGCTTAACGATACCATGCAGAGCTGCAAAACAAGCAGAAAGAAACTGGTTAGAAAACAACCATTTTCTGAGGAGGACATACACATACGTAGGACACTGTGATGATTCATAAAAAATGTTTTTTTGGAATTCCCCCCCTCCAAAAAAAGCCTCAGAATAAATTTCAGAACCGAAACGATATAGGATTTTTAAGCTCAATGCCAATTTTTGGCAATTTAAAAATGTGATATATCGGTTGATATTGTTTGTTTTCTGTTTTTTTGGATTACCTTTCTACGCTTTTTCGCTCCACTTGGAAAAGTTGGTATTTGTGTCCCTTTGGTAAACACACTACGCAACATCAACACTCATAACGTGGTTGAAATGTACATTTTGATACCTTATGTTGGAAGCTAATATTGGTTAGACTCCAATAAAATTCTATAACAGCAAAATTTACTATTTTCTTAGCAGTGAACACCAGTCATTTTAGTCAGCAGTGCTGATGTTTTAACGCTATTCCTTTTTAACTCGTTTCTCTTTTTTCCGTCATACTTCAGGTGAATTAATAGATTTTTTTTCCTAACACCACTGCTGTTCCAAAAAGACTGATATTTATGCATTTGGAGGGAATTTAAGATAATGTTGAAACATTTTGCTGAGGCTTATTTAACCACTTATAAATAACTGGTAACACAATCCTCAATTGTTGCAGCAGACATGAAGAGATTCAGTTTCCATGTTTATTCTGTATCCTACTCAGTTTCTGCTTTAAACCCACTCACCACCCACTCAGTCGAGTTCAAATGAGGGCCTCAGGGCTCCTTCACAAATATGCACGCGCACACACACACTTATATACGGACCCTTGAATTGCTGCTAATGCGCGTGAGCAGCGTGTCCAGGATGGTGTCATTGTCATGGCGATGCAGCAGGATGAAGCGCAGGAAAGTTTTGAGGAGGGAAGTTTCCGTTATACTGCGCAGAAAAAGATCAAGGTAGGCTGTGCTGGCGATCATCTCATCCACCGATGACTGCAAACACACACAATTAAAGGTGTCTCAAAACTGCTAAAAATATGCAATATGATAATAGTTATGTGTGCACAGTTAAAAGCAACATTAAGGGAATTTGTTCACCCCCCCTCCCCAACTCGGCTGTTAAAGAAACTGCAGCCTTTCTAACAAAAACAGACCCCTTTGCTACCTTATGCAGGGCGGGGCCGATGACAGGTACAAGGAAGCCGTTGTGAAGGTAATCCAAAAGCTGTGAGCGGACCAGGGGATGGGCGACCTGCACCACGGCGTTGCAGAACTCGAGCGAGTTCATGAAGAGCACGAGCGACGACACGCCCATCCAGTCCTCCCGCCGAAGGGCATGCCAGTCATCTCCTCGAACTTCTATCTTCCTCGGCAGAGAGGAATAAAGAGCACTGAGGCCTGTCGCCAACACCTGAGGAGAGGCAGAGAGGTCACAGATGTTGCTGACTGAGTCACCTCTAGGAAGTCAGCAGGTGGCACCTCTCAAATAGGAGTCTATTTTTAAAGTTCTGACTTTTGGAAGTAACAAACAAGAGCTACAAACTACACCAAATTAATGATGGAGAAAATAAGCAGCATTTTCATACAAATATCACCAAGTCACAGCCCATCCAACCCCCTCCATTAAGACTGTGCTGACTAACGGCTATTATTACTGTCTGCTGCAAATCTCAACTGCTTAAATGAACAGTTTTTAAATATTTTCATCATAATTCAAATAATTGCAGCATGATGGTCCGTACTCTGAGTCCTACTGTTACCAAAAAAAGGTTTAAACGAGTGCCTTCCCAGCACATGCAGACACAGTGGATTCACAGTCTAGCTCAAAGCCCGTCATGTATCTTAGCCTTTTAATAACAGCTGATGACTTTTATGAAAATCCAATATTTATTGCTGCTGCCGTGCACATATAGGATGGAGAAACCTGAACCCGTTAGGCTGACAAAACAGATGCAGACAGTTTGTTAAGCAAACTTCCTCAAAAAGAGCTGTGCATGGACACCGAGGGAGAGGGAGCAAAGACGGGATGTTCTCTGTACTCTGCTTACAACGTGAGAAAGACTACAATTGTTCCTGTTGTCTAAGAATGTTGAACTAGATCCAAAACTGTCAAAGCAAAGCTGATTATGATACGTGTGAGTATGCACAGACAGGAAATAGCCAGACTCGGGCAGAGAGGAGCAATTGGTCATTAACGCCACCTCCACTGGATCTTTCAGCTGTAACTAGGTCAGACTGAAGCTGCTGGAAGGAAGATGAGCAGAAAATAGCTGAGTTAGCACCAGAGTATAGAGACCTGAGAGGGAGGGGGGCAGGGATAGACTACTGACCACAGTGCTGTATACAGACATCACGCAACACTCGCTCTTATAATGCAGTATGAAAGCTTAAACATTGCTCTGGGACCAGATTCAGTTAAAATCCTGACCAATTCTTGTTCATACATTCAAATGTATGCAGACACATGTTCCCATTACAGAACTGTTAAGCAAATTAAACTAATAGCTTTAAATATGCACCTCAGACTGCATTAAGTATAACATGGCTCTTTAATTACATCTAGTGGCAGCTAAAAGAAATGACAAAAACAAGGCAGACAGGTTTTACTTCAAAGCGGAATAAACTTTCCACCTTCAAGTTATGATTGTGTTTCCAAACAGAAAAAAGAAATCACAGTTCAAAAATGATAAAATATCCTTCCTTTGTTTTCATCTTTCTTTTAGGTCTCCTGCTTAAAGAACAAACAGTTATTACTAAAGAGTGCTTCTAAACTCACTGGGGGAGAACTGCATCAGTAAGGAAACTGCATTTCACACAAGTTTTCTTAAGCTGCCTTCTTTATCACTAAACAATAAAGTTTCTCCTAAAAACTGCAAACATGTGATGTTGGGTGAGTTTCTGGTTTTTTTTTAAATAGGAAGCCTCGAGTTGAGACACAGTTGATAGGATGTAGATAAGGATGAATGGTCTGTCAGAGTGCATAGTCATCTCCTTCTCCTTCCATTATCGCACACACACACACACACACACACACACACACACACCCCTCTCTTTCTTAGAAGCAGTGAGGGGAAACTAAGTCAAGATCCAACTCTTATAATCTGTCCTTAACCATCACATCAATAAAGAATAGGTCATATTCACCATATACTATACGGTTTTTAGACTCAGAGGTTTTAATTTGAGTCTGGCTTTGACCATACTTCTATCAATCACAAGCCAAATGAGCATTATTATGGGAAAACTGTCTGAAAAAAGAGAGAATGAAGAGTGACTCAAAAGCTCCTCACTCACCGGACAAAAGTAGGAGTTCTCAGCGATGTATCGTGCAACAGCCTCGTGACTGGCTGACGCCGCCATAACCAGCAGTAGTGCATCTCGCGCCTGCTGTCCAATGGCTCCATCTCGGTGGATGAATGGCACAAGCAGGGAAAAGATCAGCAGGTTGGTTGAGCCCTGCTGGGCTGGTGCAGCCCGGAACAACATCTCTAGAACCACCGGCTGTCGGGCCATTGACACACAGATCTGATGGAGGGAAAAAGAATCCCATTAAAGAACAAGAGTCATGAAACGCTGTTGAAAAATCTACTTTGGAGGTTAGTTATTATTCCAACTTTAGCACAGAAATGAATCACTAATCACTACAAAGGTTTCCTTTTATATGAAAACAGCAGGTCAGTGCCCCTTTCTGGGGAGTTAAAAACATTTCAGGGAACACCATCAATTATATTACTATTTATTTATGCACCAAATTCACCTGGCTTTTGAAGTGGAACCCCTGCAATTAAATGGTACGTCTCCTGTCCTGACCAATCAGTAACCTGAGCTGGACTATATTCAGCTAACTTTATTGTTTGGGGGAGAAAAACGCCATAGCAGTGATGCTCTCATTTGTTGGTTTCTCAATCAATTGCTGCCAGGCATTCTCATGAAAAATATATCAAACAAATTACATTTTAAGATAAAAAAAAATCTAGCAAACAGCATGCAAACAGTAAATGCAGCAAAAGCAACAGCAAATGAAAAATTACTATAACTTCTATCTTCCTCGGCAGAGAGGAATAAAGAGCGCTGAGGCCTGTCGCCAACACCTGAGGAGAGGCAGAGGTCACAAACGATGCTGACTGAGTCCCCTCCAGGAAGCCAACGGCAAATGAAAAATTACTATAATTCAAATTGTCAGGTTTCATGAAGAGCCACAGCTCAGCTAAGGTTTTTAATACAACAGCCAATTTTTCCAGCCTTCAATTCTCAGTCATCTCACATCCGTTCAATTTTAACACTAAAAATAAAACAAAACTTGTTTGTCATTTGTGGGATGTCTACTATCTGTGAAATATATTTTGTTTATAGTGACTGCATACACACACTGGAAAAGACTGTAGGTTTGTATGTACCTGGTTAAGCAACAATACCAGGCTGTTCTCCAGAGCTGAAGGACAGCCGAGTTCTGGGTCAGCACAAGCTCCCAGGAGCCTAAGAAGGGGGTGGAGAATGGCTGTGTGCTGGAGCAGGGGCTGCTGGGACTGACCGATAAGCATCTCAAACAGTTTGAGCAGTGCACCCTGGCTGTCTGGGTCCAAGCCACGGCGAAGGTGCCACTGAACAAGCCTCTCCAGGATATTCTCTGTGACCACAAGCTCCAGTATGGGCCCCATAGGTGGCACGCTGGTGCCGCTCTCTGAGCTCTCAGCAGGACGCTCCTCTGCCAGCAAACATAACATCTGGTCGGTGTTGTTTCTCACTGCCGTAAGGTCATCGCTGGAGGATGAAGTCTCATGCTGCTCCAACACCCAAGATATCTGAGAAAAGGAAGTAAGGAATGTGTTGTTGCTTTATCCAGTGGGCTTAAGTGATGAAGTGTTTGAGGTCCATGCTAACAGGACCAGGACAAACACTAGAACTGTAATGGCACGTGTGGGTATTTGTTTATGTAACACAATACATAGAACTGAATGTTATTCCACATTACAATGTTTCCTCAAGTCAATCAGTTCTGCTTCCATGTAACTGGTTCATCCTTTAGTCCAAGAGGAAGAAATTCCCTTAAGGCTCTCCCAAGATATCGAGTCCATTAGCACAAACAGACAGGCAACCCTTAAACTTAATATCTCCAGCCATGGCTATTACTGACAAAGAGGCATACAGGCAGATAATACTCAAAACAGGTTAAAATACAACAGTGCAACACAACTCAATTATTTTGTAAGATATAAAACGGCCTGTATTTGTATAGCGCTTTACGGTGAGAATATGTGGTCAAAAGTGTGTGAGAGCAAAATGATAAGCAGAAGTTTAATTGGTCAGCATGACTACAGCAAGAATGAATTTGCAGATCTGGGCCCATGTTGAACAGATAAGAGCTGCATGTTAGATACTGGATAACAAGTCACGAACTACATTTAGGTGCACTTCTGTGGCTCTGTTGCAATGCATTTGCAACAGAGCCACTTATTATGGCTGGTGTCTGTTTCTTCCACAGTGGATTATAAATGCATTTCTCCATTATGACAACCGATCCTTTCAAAGAAAAACTCACTGACAGGATCGGACCTGTATATAGCTTTAGTAAGTCTCTCCAAAGAAGGAGCGGGTTTGCAAAGTGTGCACGCCCTGCAATCCCTGGGAAAAACAGAAAATAGATCATTTCTCAGACATCTTTTGTTGCCTCAGATTAGTTCCAACCGTCAGGCAGTGACAGACCTCTGTAACCTATAAACGTTCAGTAGGTAACTGGACATCAGCCAGCTAGTTTACTACTCTCACTGACACTGACACAGTGAACTTTCACACATTGTGTGAACACATAATCATTCACTAGAACAAAGACAAAGCCTTCAAATCACACCAAAAAGAAAAAAAGATTAAAAGTAGAAAATTTGAACTGTCACAATAAATTGGATTTATTATAATTAACTCATCTGTGAGAGAGAGAATGTTACTTAGGCGCTGAAGAAAATTTAAAAAAGCAGTTTTTAACTTTGATTCTGTTTTGTGACTGACAAAATTATTGTTTCATTTTGAGTTCAGCTTCTCTTGAGTTTTCACTCTGGGTAGGAAAAATAATTTGCCTCAAATTGTGAAAACGGGACAATCTTTGTGCAAAATTAACTTTTGTGTGTTAGTTCGAACATTGATGCTGTAACATCAAGATAACATTTTTAATTAAAAAAAAAAATCAGTACCAATATAGACCACTGTGGGCAGGGCAGGAACATCGAGCAATTTTTATTATTTATTATTTTGAAGCCACAAAAAGTCCATCACACCATTTCCTGTGACGAGCACACACAGCTGCACTAAGTAAGGCTGCTCAAATATAGCAAAAATCATCATCTCAATCCCCAATATAGTTTCATCTCAATTACTTAACATGGTTATTAACTAACTTTAAAAAAAAATGTCCTTTTAAAGGATATTTATTTGGAATTTAAATACAATTGATAATAAACACAAATTGGTGAGTAACACAGGGTCATCTGGTAAAGCATTAAGCAGAGGTATTTTTGACTGCAAAGCCCATCTTGCAAGAGCAACTGGTGCATTGCCTCCACTTTGATATCTCTCCAGAGGCAGACGGGCAAAAACAGCCCCAGGGTCATTTGGGGACCTGCAATGCAGCCACGGCTCAAGCAGCGGAGAGCTAAAGACAGCGTTTGCCAACTTTTAGTAATTCTTCCATGGGTTACATGTGCCTTTTACTTTTTTAAGATGGATTGTTGATCAAGAGATGGGTCCAAGCTTTTAGGGAGGGGCAAAAACATACCAGTATAAAGGAAAGACGAGAAACAAGAGCTTTGGAAAGAAAAGAAACAGAAAAAAAAACTGTGTGTGTGTCTTAAGCTCACCTGTCTCCAGTGGTTTTCAAACACCATGAGACAGGTCTCTGGGTCTGCAGTGCAGGGGCTGGAGGGGGCGGCACTCCGGCTCGACCGACTCCCAGAAGCCCGTGGATTTAACCTGCTCAGCCAGCTCATAGTGAAACCAGCTTAAAGCAGACCAAAGGTCACTAAAACTCAATGACGTTGAGTCTAACAGAAGGCAAAGGAAATTATATGGGAAAACAAAAGGAAAACAAGAAGTGGGAGAGAGGAAAAGAGAAGTGCAAAAAGAAGGGCAGAAAGGGAAGGGAAAGTGTATCACAACAGAGAAGAGGAGAAAGAGGTCGGCTGCGCAGGCTGTCAATCCCGCTCAGTGTACATCTAGGAAAAGCCTGCTGCTGCTGCTGCTGCTGCTACAGAAACTTTGTGACCCTGTCCTCCTCGTAGACCCTGTCATCCAGTCTGAAGCCAACACCACTCCATAGCCGGTCAGGACTGGCAGTCTCTCTGTGTGAACAAAAAAAACCCCCCAAAAACAAAACAACATTAACATCATATAAACCTGGAATAATAACAGCTTCATTCACAAACTTGCTATTACTAAAAGATCTCATTGCATTTCTCTTAATGTGGACTTGAAACATGACAGAATAACCACTAGATTAGAGTGGGAAGAATGTATGTAAGGCAACATGGATACAAGATTCCATGCCTCACTCGCTGTGGCTCGGGAGGCAGGGTCCATGGCAGTAAGCTACCCCAGGACCCCACAGAGCTTTCAAGAAAGCCAATATACATCCAGAGGAATGACTTCAGGTGGACATTGTTGATAAAATACAGATTTATAAATGACATTATGCATATGGCAAAAACTACAAATCACCTTTCAATGGGATCATATCAGCCACGATGTCATTGAGTGTTCAGACCACACATATTACTCTTAAATAAGAATAAATAAACGCACAGCAATTATCTGAAATGTCATTAATGATTTTGCCCAGTTACACTGAGTAGCTCATGGTTGGTGCCAAGCTGTTGCATGTGAAGCGTGTAACATTTTGTGGATACGTTTAGAAAATTATCGCAATGGAAGAAAAGAAAAGTAGAAAGAGCCACGGTAAAAGAATTAACAGTTTCAGAAAACAAGTTTTAACTACACACCATTTCTATCAGTAACATTTCTGCAGTATTATACTGAAAACGTTGATGTTTTATCACAAGTCTAATCCTCATAACACCTGCATGGACTGAGCTGAAGGAAGGGAAAAGAAATGTTTTTGCTTTCCTTCATTTTCTATTACATCAAAATGCTTTAAAAAAGGTCCATGTTATGAAAGGACTGTGCAGTATCAGTAGCTGCTGTGTCCGTTTGTCGTCAGTATTTATATCACTGGCTGAACACTGCACTCAAGAACATCTAATGCGATTATATACATATACTATATTCCCAAAAGTATTTTGTCATCTGTCTTCACACCCATATGAACTTGAGTGAAAACCCATTCTTAATCGACAGGTTTTAATATGTCATCTGCCCACCATTTACAGCTATGACAGCTTCAACTCTTGTTGAAGCTGTTGATATGTTACAGTGGTGCCAAAACCCAGGATTGGGGCATGGCGGAACCGCGACCGGGCCAGCCAGGGGAGGTCGTGCCTACCTCTAAACCCGTACCCACTTCTTGGGTGGGAGCGCCTGCACCTGTTCCTGTTCCACGGAGGAGGGCGGATGAGCAACCTCCACTTACACCACCTGCTCATGCATCTTCTCGGCCTGAGCCGATGAACAGCATGGACAGCATGCGGGAGACAGCGTGCTCACCCAGAGCCGGAGGCTGGCACCAGGGAGAGAGCTGCTCAGCTGGGGCCAGAGGCCAGCATGTGGTATGGACCCGCCTCGTTTTTACCAGAAGCCAGCGTCTCTATTAGAAGCGAGTGTGAAAACGACAACTGTAATAAAATCCGCTGAAAAATGCAAATATGTGGTCGGGTCTGCTATACATATGCTACAGTGTGCTTATTTGACCATTCTTCCAGAATAAAAGTTGTGAGGTCAGACACTGAAGTTGGACAATAGGGCCTGGCTCACAGTCTCTGCTCTAATTCATCTCAAAGGTGTTCTTTTGGGTTGAGTTCAGGTTTTGTGCAGATCAGTCAAGTTCTTCCACACTCACACTTCCACACCGCTCATTTAATTCTTTATCGACCTTGCTTTGTGCACTGCGATGCAGTCATGTAGGAACAGGAAGGACCCATCCCCAAATGTTCCAAAGTTGGGAGCATGAAATTGTCCAAAATGTCTTGGTATGCAAAACATCAGGAGTTCCTTTTACTGGAAGTAAAGGGGGTGAAAAACATCCCCACGCCATAATGCCCCCGTCCGCCAAACTATACATTTGACACAAAGCAGTCAGACAAGTACCGTATTATTCGGGCTATAAGGCGCACTTAACATTCTTTAATTTTCTCAAAAATCCACAGTGCGCCTTATAATCCGATGCACCTTATGTATTAATTCTGGTTGTGCTTACTAGCCTTGAACTGATTTTATGTGCTCAAATTAAGTTTAATTCTTTTGTGGTTCGGACTCCTTCTGACATTTGTTTGGAGGTGGAGGAACATCACAGTAACTGCTTAAAGGAGCTTCTTCGACATCTTTAAGAGTTCTAAACAAATGTCTGTCCTCCTCCAAATCTTATGTACGCAAACACGCGTTGCAACTTCATATCTTGTGCGCGTTTTTTATTTTGAAAAACGCACCTGCGGACCACTTATGTGCAGCCCTGGTTATTTAGCTCGTCATATTGCAGCCACAGAAATTCTTTTGTCCATGAAACCATAAAGCTGCACTTTCTTTTTGCCTTATAGTCTGATTTGTCATAACTTTTCCGTTTTGTGGTAAGCTTTTCTTTGGCTGTCACTTCTTCACCCTGACTTGTCTTATTTGGCTCAGCAGAACTAAAATATATATCCTGCTGCTTTTACACACACACTCACATAAGCTCAGCGATTCTCTGCGCGATCAACCTCTCACATGTTTAAGCTGCGGGAGATTTCACTTGTCATGTTTGCATAGTAAGCTAACGATTAATAAGACGATGTCAGAGGAATTGGTGCGCAAATTATCGTCACTCACCAATCAGTGCTGTCGCTCTCTATACACAGTTCGCACGATTGCAAAGTGAAAGCAAAAAAAACAAGCGCAAATTCAAACGCGATTTCAATATGTCACATATTGACAGTGGCTCACCGATGCCAATGCATAATTACCCAGCTACATTTCCGAAAGAATGCAAAAGCATTGACATATATTTTTTCTTCCTACGATAGCCCGACGGGCAGGGCAGAGATAGATTTTGGTAGCCTGACTGGAAAAATTTTGCGAGCTCTGATGTTAGCATGACATTAGCACAGTGAAGCTGGAGGATGAACGCTAACTTTTTTCCGCTTGATAAAAGTTAACGTGAGGGTTCCCGATGGTTAGGGACAAATGCAATCGCATGGCAGGATGCTGTAAACGGACCAAACCTCAGTCAGGAGAACTACTGAGATAATTCACAAGGTTAGTCATTCATATACTGCAACAACATGGGAATAGAGCAGCTGCAAGAGAATTCAACACTAATGAATCAATGTTACGGAAGTGGAGGAAGGAAGACGAATGAGTTGAGTAAAGTTTGACTTATCTGACTGTTTTGTTTCGCTTAATGCACCTTATAATCCGGTGCACCTTATGTATGAAAACAGACCCATTCATCGATGGTGCACCTTATAATGTGGTGCACCTTATGGTCTGAAAAATACGGTACCGTTTTCCTGGCAACCACCAAACTCACTCATCCACTAGACTGCCAGATGGAGAAGCATGATTCGTCACGCCACTTTCTTTTCTCTGTGATAGCAATTCTGCTTAATTTGTTAAATCCCTTATCAATATCCTTAATCTAAATGTCATTCTGCTGTCTTAAGTCATCCAATAGACAGAAACCCTTTCTGTACTTTTACGTGCATGCAAGTAATCAGGTTGTGCTGTATTCGGTTTCCTCAACTGGTTAGGAACAAGAGGTTGAATGGTATAAAATGCACTCCACCAGTAAGCGGGATATTTGATATTTTCCTTCAGCGCCATCAGAATTTAATAGCTCCAAAAATATCTGCCAGGAAGTAGTGCACTTAGTGAGTTATTGTAAGGATTAGTGAGAAATAACTGAACAGATGGTTAATGATGGATTTTGCTGCTGGAAAGGAGGGGGGAGGGGGGTGTTTGTTCTTTTACTGTTGTGCAAACCTACAGTGCAGAACTTTTGGCTCTCAGACTTAAAGTGTAAATATCAACCCTATTGACTCTTGCATATACAGCGCTGTGCAAATGACTTGACCCGCCCTTAATTCTTTCCATTATGCTTAGAAAATTATTTATTGAAACATCTAAACATACATGGATATACAGTATATAAAGCAAAAAGAGTTTACAGAATTGTAAGAAGCTTGAAAGACAGTGTTTGGCATTACAACCTTTATTCGTCAACATAGCCCGAACCCTCCTGGGCAACTCTTGCATGATTTCTTCAGCAATAGTCTTCCAGGCTTCTAGAAGTGCATTCAAGCTTTTCTTTGAGTGCCTTTTAATTAGATCTCTGTCAAGATGATCCCGCATTGCTTGAGAGATGTTGAGGGACTCTGGAGGGGTCAGTCCATGACTGATAGTTTTCCATTGTGCATTTTTCTATCCAGGTATGCTTTTACTGCATTAGCATTGTGTTCGGGATCACTGTCATGCTGGAAAACAAGTCATTGCCAATCACACACAGTCCCAAACCATGCCAGAGCCTCCACAGTGTTTTACAGATGTCTGTAGACCATTACTACGGATTCATGCTAATATTTATGCTTATGATAGTATCAATATCAACTCCCAAATGTCAGCATACTATCAACTGCAATCACCATTAAAAAAAAAAAAAAAATTTTCTGGGTTTTGTTTTGTTTTTATTATATATGTGAGCAAAAATATCGCTGTTGCAAATTTCCTTGAAAAATTGTTATATAATATTGAGACTACATTGAGCACCCCTAACAACAATTTGACCAAAACCTCCAAATTTGGATTCATCGCTCCATCAGAACTGTTGCCATGGATTTTCAGTCCAGTTCTTGTGTAATTGATATACCTTAGTGTTCTCCCCCCGTTTCCCTTCCTTAGGAATAACTTCTTGACAGCCCCCCTTCCACTGAGACCATTTCTGATGAGGCTTCAGCAAACAGTAGACGTATCAACTGAAGTGCCAGATGCATCGCTCAGGTCCTGTTTTAGGTCTTTGGATGCCCCCACCCCCTCCACCACCATTTTTAATGACTTACTGTTCATTTTCTGCAGATAGTTAAGCTGTTCCTCCAGATGTCCAGTGCATTTGACACATTTACCAAGCCGGCATACGCTAAGTTTTCAACCAATAGCTCTTCTGAAATCTCCTTGTTGGTTCAAAACATGCTATACCTGTTGAACTGTGTTATCATTGGCACTCTTCATAGATTCAAAGAAATAAAGAAATGGGAACAGATTATGTGTTTATGTAACAAGTTGCTAGTAATAAAGTGCCTAAAGACTAGAGATGGCACGATATCACTTTTTAATGTCCGATACCGATATCAGAAATTTGGATATCTGCCGATATCGATATGAATCCGATAAAGCGTATTTTGTAATCAATAAAACTGTTTTTTTTTTTTTATAAATATCTTGCTGCATTTTGTATAAGTTCATACTTAAGTTTTAAAAAAAAAAAACAAGCGACCGAAGCTATTCTGTTATACCTGTATGCAAAAAATACACTCCACCCAAAACATTTTATAGTTCAGCAACACTGATCGGTCTAATAAATTTAAACCTACACCATCCTCCCTATTCTGGTATTTTAAAGAGTACTTAGTAGAAATATTAAGCAACCTAACTAATAGGGTTGCTAACTCCCAGCAAAAATATTAGGGCGGGGGGTGGTTCCCTTGTGGTGGAACCACCCCCCGCCCTTAATCGATGTAATCAACTTTAATTTAATGCAAGTGTAAAACAAATGCACAGAAATCAATTATTTTTCTACAATAATTAAATAGATTCAACATCTTTCTTCAACAGAATTGCAGACTGCACAGATGGTACCTTCCCAAAGGAAAAAGTACTATAGCTTACTAGGGTATATTAGACTTATTAGTTACTATATACAATAATGGATTTCTATACATTTAATCGGATGACCACTTTTGTTGTAAGATTCAGATAATTATTTATTCAAAGTTTTTAAATGACATAACAAAGAAAAGTATTTCTTTGTGCCCCCCTCTCCCTGTTAATGCCCTACCCGGCCCCCGACAACACTTTGCTAGACCCGCCCCTGCACAGTTACCAGCTGTCAGCTACCTAAAAAAGGATCCTGGTGTTATTTGTCTCTCAGAAACAGTTCATAACTTCCCTTCAACTCATTCATGTCACCTAAAAGGTAAACCTGTTTCTCCATCACCTGTTCAGCTCTGATGATTCAGTAAGGACATCTCCTGGTTTCATCTTCATGTTTCCCTCTCACCACATATCCAAACCGATATCATGACCAGCAGCTTTACAGCTGTAGCTCCAGCAAACCTCAGCTGATACTAGAAAGTAATATTAAATACATTCTAACAACAGCTTATCACGCTTAAACGTGCTGCTGTTGTTTATCCACTGGTCTCCTCTTTCTAGCGCAAAGTGGGCGATAAACAAACAAGAAAGACGGGACTTGAAAGGCCGATCAGCTGATCATTGATCAGTTTCATGTTTGAAGTAATAACAGGAGAGGAAGGGGGAGTGAATGAGAGAAGTAGATGCAACTGCGCAGCAACGACAGAATAACTCCAGCTTTGTGTCTATTTTTTAATTCTAGCTGGAGTACGGGACAAATCGCTTCCTTTTCACCTCAATATGGAACTCCGATGACCAGTCCAGCTGTGGCTCAATATATCAGTTGTTAAGCTTAACGTGGAAATACTATGCAAACATTCAGGGATGAACTTACACACTTGCTTTACTTCTCTGGGATAGTTTTTGCCAAGATGAAATGCTGCGGTTAGGAAGCATGTAGCGAGGCTCCAAATGCTCCAACAGACCGCCGACAGGTCTCGCAGACAACAGCCGCTCTATCATGTGACATATACTGCTCCGATGCACCGCGCTGGGTTACGCCAAGTAGCGCGTTTTGTGAGATGATTGTGTGATACTTCGGATCGAATTACATTTTTTATTTCTCTCCAATATCCGATCCAGTAATTTAAGTCAGTATCGGACCAATACCGATACGTAATATCGGATCTGTCCATCTCTACTAAAGACACAATTTTATCCCCCCCCCATTGTTTTTGGTGTGTAACACTAGTTTATCCTTTGAGTTAAGTGCTTTGTTTAATCCTTGAATGGTCTGGACTGAAAAAAGTTGAAAAAGCAGCCAAAGTCCAAAGAAAGACTTCAAAAGATCTTAAGAAACTCTGACTCCTTGGAAGTAAAATATAAAGAAATGAATCCTGGCTCAAAGACGTTTGCACAGTATTGTATGTATTTCCTATGGATAACATCCCTTAGGCTTGATAAGTTAGTAAGTTCACTTTAACTGAGATACATAAGTAGATTTCAAACCTTTGTTATTGTGGCCACATGATGTGGACCAACATCACATGAACTGGACTTGGATCACACGCGAGTAAGAGGTCTACCAACGTCATGCTCAACTTCCTTAAATCAATAAGGCTCAAATGCTTCTCTTTTTTTTCCTTCGCTCCCCGATACAGAGTATTTACACACAAACAACAATGGAAAAGATGGGTTACTATAGTCCACACTTTTTAATGACTCACTGTTCCTTAACATCTGATTCAAACTTAATGACACTGCTTGAAAACTGCTTCAAATGCATAAATTCATAACGAGGATAAAAATAAGATGATTATCTTACCCTAAATGAAGTTTAAGGTAACTGCTGATGCAGCTACTGTGCACCAGCATTTCAAAACTTTCTGACCCCGATGTGCAGGAAGTAGAAAATACAGTATATGGCCATTCAGCTTTAGTTTTATTTCAGGTCACACTGAATCATAAAATGTTTCAAAGTTCAACTAGACATTCCACTGGAGGGAGGCTGCCTTCATAAAGAGAAGTATTTGTCAAAGCTTAGTCATGAAGAACACCAAAGCAGTCTTGACTGCTACAGTCTCATAATGCAAAGTCTAAAGGTCAAGACCTATTTTATACTAACTAAAAGTATTTATGTGAAAAACTTAGAGCCACTCCTGCCTCAACCAGAAATTCTCCACGTCCGCTCATATCCACGAGGACTGATGATAGTTACTGATAACATCTGTGACACAAGCAGTGAGCAATCATAGACAAGACATGATGACTTAAGGATGTCAGCGGCTACACAACAGTGCTTTTTGTTGGCTTAAGTACTAGTGGTTCTGTAGGTGGTGTATGTGCCAAGACAGCAATTCATCTGGAACTGAAAAGGGTGGCATACACCTACAAGTGTTTTTCTCTATCCTTACATGTAGAAGAAGAAGAGGAAGGATGTCAAAGAGTCATAAACAATATAAAAGATAGATGTAGCTTCCATGTAGCCAAAATTAAGCCAATATGGGAGGCCTTAAAAATGAATTCTATCTGAAGGCCACCAGATGGCGATAGCTGTGGTTGAACAAAAGACTTCCAGTCCCGTAAAAGACTACACGAAACGGCTTTCTGTCTCAACCTCTGTAAACACTTTGCTGATGAGTTTATGGGGTCAGTTACACATTTAGGGTAAAGTCTTGGTCATACCGTATTTCAAAGAGGGAGGCCTGTACATGCCACAAAACTGCACACTCACTAGCTAATGACTTGTGACTGACAAGTTGTTAGCCACACAATTTCACAGTCAGACCAGCCTTTCCTCATCATCTGGGTTTTTTTGTCTTTTTGCAACCAAGGTGGGAATGGCAGAAACACTCATCTTGAATCTTTAAAACAAACACTGAGGTTATGTTGTAGTAGCTGTGATGATTGACTTGCATAAGGTTGTAATAAACTTGAGTGACATGACAGCTGGAACAGGGTTTTATTGAACAAAAAAGAAAATGATTAGTGATTGTTTATCAACTTTCCCTGCAGTGTACTAACTAGTTAACAACTTACAATTAAACCACTGCTTGACTCTTCCTCATCAGCAGCTCAGCTATGATGCACACTCGTGCCTCTGCCACTGCCTACTGCTTTTTCTGCATCAATGCATATCAGAAAAACATATATCCTATATCTTTAACTGTGACAGGCAAATATTATTAAAGCAATACATGAATCAGGCTGTAGAAACAAAAGAATATTTTTAGTCTGCAACCACCATCATTTTTTCTGTATAAGAAAATAATATATGAATGATTTTCCTTTGCATAATCCAAAGCTATTCTAACAGTGCAGACGTGAACTAATAAGACACCTGGAAGAACGTATGCTTATTTTCTAATACAGATTCATCTGGTTTTTTAATCACATATTTCCTGCCCCAATGTGGCACACTTATATTGACTCCTCTCTAGATCAAATTTAAATAATCATCCAACACTGAAGCTATAGCACCGGTAAATGTTCACATCTGGGAAGCTGAATTGAGCAGAATCTGGTACACTTTGCTTGAAAATGACCCAAAATGCTAAAAACTGAAGTCGTTACAGATGCTCTTCTCTTCATCTGAAAACCGCAGTTTTATTCTTACTCTTGTAAGGCTGAAAGTTGTGTCTGAAAATAGTTACACGTTAACTTTCTGTTAAGATGGTGAAATTATTATCTAAACCCAGTGAATAAAGATAAGCAAGAGTGTACGTTCTCAAACAGACAAATTTAAGCGATTAATGAACAAGGCTTTTCTATTCAACCATGATTTAATCTGTTGATGTGATATGCATATATGTGGCTTATTCGAGATGGGGGATCTACTAGTTATTCTGGGCACAGAAGTGACAGATTATTAGAGTTGTGTAGTTATAATTCCAAAGTCCAACCCAGTCCACAGATCTAATTCAAAGTTCACAGGTAAGATCACAACATAAATCATCAATCACTGCAGTATTTGGGGGTCATGTGTCCCGTTCAATCTGACAGACTGCTAGAGCACATACAGTGCACACACCAAATACTACGCCCTTTCCCCTAAACCGGTTGGTTTGTCATGACTTAGCAGCACTTGAGCTTTTCTGCACTACATCTCACTTCAGCCAAGCGAGGCTCCTTACGCTGTGGTTCGACAGAAAACAACAATGTATTTCAAATGCATGACGGAGGACCAAGCTAATTGACACTGCAAATATAATCAGCTACCTTAGAAATGCCAGCAACGCATATAGTTAATTTATCTAGCTGTCGTGCTGTTGAACTTCACTATGAGGTCATCGAGAATCTGCCTACCTTGTGTGAGTCTCAACAGTTGTTGCGAGGTGGTGTTTTCCTTGGGCAGCTACCTGCTAGCTGGTTGCTAGTAAGTTAGCGCTGGTATGCTGCTAGCGACTAGCTGCTGATGAATTCCACAATGTCAGAGCAGTAAGCGATTACAAGATAGGAGGCGACCAAAAGACAACCGGCAAGACAGACCACAGTGAGTCAGGGACGCTAAGAAATCAACCACTCCTTCACTGAGGCTGCTGTGCATCCTGTTAGCAACAGATAAACATCCCATTTGATGGTTTCTCAAACACTCTTCGCTTTCCCGCAGCCATCTTACTTTAACTCCGCCCACACGTCTTCTCTGACTCACAGCGACGCTGCCTCGCACAGCTGTATGAGGGCTTTAAAGTGCCCAGATTATATACACTGCGTGCTAAACACAATGCACAAAGCTGAAACTTGTGAAAAATTGCTTGGCACCATGTCTGACTTTGGAGTTAGTTTGCAGTCCTCACCTCTTAGTCGGATAACTGTTTTTTATCAGTGGACCTGAAAGCTCCAGTTACTGCACCTTCAGAAAAGCCATGCAAATAAACTAAGCATAGGCAAACAAGGAGAGCTTATCTAAACGTAAAGACCCGCAGCAGTCAAATAAAATAGCGTAGCTTAAACATGGAAACATGGAAAGCAAATCCACATAGCGAATCCAGAAATGTATGGAAGTTTTTACCACTGGGGAAAAAGAAAAGCCATTTATAAGTGTTAATTTTGCATTATGTTAACATTTTAAGTTGAGTATTTCAAAATTTATTTCACACCAACTATATTGTAGGCTAAAGACTTTACAATATTAGAAGAAGATGCCAAAAATTAAACAATCTCAATAATCAAGTCAAATTTAAGGTATATTAAAAAAAAATCCATACCCTATTCATTTATAGACACACAGTGACATCCTCTCTGTAGTTTGGGCTCTATAATCCTGTCAGTGTTTGCTGTGTCTGAATTTTAAAGAGATAGCCTGCTCTGGTTTTCTGAGAGAGTTAAGAATTCCCAGAAGACACATGACATCTGTTATGGTTTCCCCCCATAGAGACCAGCATCACCAGGCAGTGATCAGGTAGACCTGGGTTGTTGTTAGGTGGACTCTACAGTGGTGCCTGTGTGTTCCTCTTCATCATGAGCAGTACTTGCCTAAAAAATACGTTCATTTAAGGCCGATGTTTGGAAAATGGATATAACAGGTGATGTTAGTATCAGAGGGAACCGATGGCAGAGGCTGTTTAGGCGGCAACAGGGGCAGAAAGCCAGTGGGGAAGGACAAGATGGTGTCAAGGATAAGGGAAAACATAACACTTTCCTGGGCATAATTTTGAAATTTAAGTAAGTATTATTGATTAAGCTGAATCTTTTTGGAAAAAGAAAAGTGCAGCTGTGATACAACAACAACAAGGCTGTTATTCAATTAGGCAGCTTGTAGAATGACAACATGTTTCTAATTATTAAGATTTAAAACATTTGACCTGTTTGAGATAATTAACACAAATTAGATCAGATATAATATCATTTATTCATGACAAGAGTCTTTCATCGTTTTGTTTGGGCTCCTGTTTTGGCAAATATTTCACAGTGAAAAATCCTAATACATTTTCCTGTCACAAGCAATGCTTTGGTTAATAATATGACTATGACAAGTCTCGAATCATAATATTTATGTGACTCTGTTCTTCTCTTCTTTCCCTTCTTCAACATTTCTCAGCTGGAATGAGTTCATTGTTGATCCAGCTGAGCAGTTTTATTATGTCTGGATTCAGGTCATGACACTACCCATCGTTTACAACTGGGTAATCATCATTTTGAGGTAAAGTAGTGCAGTGTGGTATGTTTACAAATGGTAATCATTCCTAAGCATATAACAACAGTGCATGATAGGACATTTTCTGAAGCAATGCTTGTGTTTTTCAGGACTTGTTTCACTATGATAGCACTGAGCTACCTCCCTGTGTGGCTTACTCTGGACTATGTGTCAGACCTCATGTATATGATTGATATGATCATCACTCTTCACACTGGTAATTCTGTCAGTTTACAGTGGGAGTTCAAATTCCAACTTACTTTTGTCACGTGCAAGTTTTACATAACCCTTTATCATATTAAATATGACAGTCTTTTTTCCCTAGCTGCTTCTATTCATGTGGCCGCTGTAGCTATGGCTATAGCTATAATGAGAAAAAGTAATTTGGATGCTTTCTAACAATTAGAGCCAACCTGTGTATTGATAAATTACATCACTGTATGATGAGTATTCTGGGCTTCATTAAACACTGTTTTTGCCTCTTCAGGTTACTTGGATCAGGGCATCCTGGTCAAAGACCTGATTCAGTTGAGGAAGCGCTACCTGCGCTCTAAACATTTCCTCTGGGACCTGGCTTCCATTCTTCCTTTCGACTTCCTGTATTTTGCATTCGGCATCCAAACTCCTCTGGTCAGAATCAACCGCCTTTTGCGTATCCCACGACTCAACGAGGCCTTGGACCGCATGGAGACAAGAACCTCCTACCCCAACACCTTCCGCATTGCCAAGCTCATGATCTACATCTTTGTGCTTATCCACTGGAATACCTGTCTGTACTTTGCGCTGTCCAGCAGCCTCGGCTTTGGAAGTGATCCTTGGGTTTACCCTAATATCACCAACACAGAGTTTGGCTCCATGCGACGTCAGTACTTTTACTGTTTCTGGTTTTCCGCTCAGATTTTAACCACAGTGGGAGACATCCCCCAGCCAGAAAGGGAAGAGGAGTTCTTGTTTATGATCGCAGACTTGCTCATTGCTGTGTTGGTGTTTGCGTCAATTGTTGGCAATGTCGGCAATGTCATCACAAGCCTAAGAGATCGCGATAATGTCTTCTTCCCTAACCATGAGCTGGTAAGCTGATGGAAGAGCCAAGCTTATTGAAAAGACTTTTAATAATGAAGATTGTGTGATAGCTTTCTTTAGCTAACATTTATAGAAAATCAAGTTTTTCTTTCCTTCTTTCAGGTAAAGGCATACCTGCGTAGTCATCACATCAGCAAGGAGCTTCGAGAGCGTATCAACAACTGGTACCAGCATCTTTACATCAACAAGAAGATCATGCGAGAAAATGAAATCCTGCAGCAGCTGCCTCTGCATATGAGGACAGAGATCGCGGTCAGCGTTCATCTTCGCACACTCTCCAAAGTCACCATCTTCCAGAACTGCGACAGAAGTCTGCTGGAGGAGCTGGTTCTCAAACTAACTCCTCAGGTCAGAAAGCTGGCAAAGCTGTGTTTGTAACTTATAGTCACTAATTTGTTTATAGAGCACACAACTAAACTGAATGGCACCTGCTCTCTGTGGAATGTGGTTCAGTAGCTTACTGTTATCTTGCAGATCCGAATTTAACACTGTTGTTGGTTTACCTTGACAGTGCTTTTGGAATATAACAATCCTTTGAGGCTGATGAAGTCTCACCTGCTCTTTATCTTTTTATCTTGTAGGTGTTCAGTCCAGGAGAGTACGTCTGCAGGAAAGGAGATGTGGGCCATGAAATGTACATCATCAAAGAAGGAAAATTGGCAGTTGTGGCAGATGATGGGGTTACAGAATTTGCTGTGCTGAGTGATGGGAATTTCTTTGGGGAAATTAGTATCCTTAACATCAAAGGTATGTTAAGTGATTTGGGCATGCTCTTACAAGTGAATTTGTTTAGCTGGTGAAGAGACACATGGACAAGAAGCAGGCCAGCTCTTTTTCTTCAGTTGTCTAAAAAATAAAACCGAGAGTCTCAACAATGGTAAAAATATTCTTTCAGACTATTAGAGATGCTTGAAATAGACAAGTATTCTCTATAAAAGGAGGGAATGTGATTTCTGCACATTTAAAGTGAAGAATTACGACTAAAATACCAATTATACTAAGAGTTTTTTAAGTGTAGTACAGCTGAAATTCAAGGTTGAACCTATAATTCTGTTCAGAGTTTTCACAAGAAGATGACTCAGATGAAAGAAAATTGCTTCTGAAGGCATCTAAAAGTGTATAATTGGAATCGGGAATGTTGGTGTATGAAGAAAGCAAACAAGTTTAATTTCAAGTGGTTGTGCTGAATTACAGTTTTTACAAATTTGCAAAAAATCTCTAGAAATGTCCACAACACCATAACATACATACAACCACAGGTCCAAAAAAGTTGGGACATGGTGTAAAATTTAATGTAAATCTCACAACCCCATATTGCATATTGAATAGAATATAGAGAATGTATCCTGTTTAACCTGAGAAAATGCAACATTTTAAGAAAGACTTTAGCTCATTTTGAATGTGATAGCAGCAATACATCTATAAAGTTGGGACAGGGCCGTGTTTGACTCTCTGTAACATCCCTCTTCTGTTAACAACAGTCTTTAAACATCTAGGAACTGAGGAGACCAGATATAGATGATAAGATTTTCAAAGGGTCCACAATTTTATGCTAACATTATTTTGAAATGCTATTGTTAATAGAATATTGGTTTATACGATTTACAAATTATTATATTCTGTTTTTTTTATTTACAGTTTAAACTTTTTTGGTAAGTGCAAAGATATTTTTGGGAGCCTCTATAATTCCTAATCTATGATTGGTTTAGTTGAAGCTGTCAGTTGGATTTTTCTTTTTTTCACATTCAAAATATTATGGATGATTATTACTACTTTCTTTTACTATTTTTCTTTATTTGTTTCCTTGATATACTACTACACACTGATGGCTGTTAAAAAACCGCCACCTGAAAAACAGGTGGCGGTTTTTTAACTGCAATCAATTGGAATTTCCTTTGAGGGCTGGTGTCCAGTCACGTATGAACAGGAAGGACCCATCCCCAAAATATTCCCACAGAGTTGGGAGCATGAAATTGCTGCAAAATATTTTTTGTATGCTGAAGCATTAAGAGTTTCTTTCACGCGAGCTAAGGGGCTGAGTCCAACTCCTGAAAAACAACTCAATACCACAATCCCCACTCCACTAAACTTTACACTTGGAACAGTGCACTCAGACAAGTACTGTTCCCCTGGCAACATTCCCGAAAACAGATGGAAAAGCATAATACGCCACTTTATAGAACACATCTTCACTGCTCTGGGATCTAGTGGTGCATGTTTTACCCCACTGCATCCAAGACTTTTTACTGTGCTTGGTGATGTATGGTTTGGATGCAGCAGCTCGGCCATAGAACCCCATTCCACATTGCATCTACATCTACATTGCATTGAGGAAATTTCAGAACTGGACTTGTTGCACCGGTGGTATCCTATCACGGGCCCATGCTGGAATTCACTGAGCTGCTGAGAGCAACAAATTCTTTCACAAA